AAATGTCACTTTTAACGCAATTTGAGGCGAGATGTTGATGGTTCCGCGTTGTGATATGTGGGTTTTTAGAGTAAGAGTTTCGTGTAAAGTTTGTTTAAAAGCATTCCACTGATCCTGTGAAAATGGAGCTTTCGCAAAAGTTCACCGTGGTAGACCCGGCTGCTCCTGCCCAGGCCACAGGCTGCTCTTCCTCGACTCATCAATACCAGCAACGCCCACATCCAGTCAACCAATAACCACCAGGACAGCAAGTTAAAAGCCGGAGACGCCCACTTCCCGGCCTTCTGAAGTCTGCAACTACTGCTGCAACTACTGCTGCTGCTGCTACTGCTTCATTTACTTTGACGTCTCTTCACTTTACATCTCTCTTTTACTGTAACACTAAACAGCTACAACTGTTATTGTCTAAGGATACTGCTGCTGCTTCATGCTGCCGCTGCTGCTGCAGCTGCTACTGCTACTGCTGCAACCCACTCTCTCAGAAGCTTATCCTGCTTCTACTGGATGCAGCCCGGCTGAGGACGCCGCGCTGCGCTGGACTCGCACCTATGCTCTCAGGGTCGCTTCGGCGGTCATGCTTCATCTCTCTACTTAATCTACTTAATCTTCTGATTCTATCAGATGCAGCTGGCCGAGTAGCTGCGCTGAGCTGTCAATCAAACTTGTACTCAAAGGCATCCATACCTGTATTCTTCACTCTTCTGCTCCCCATCATGCTGCCCATCCTGCAGCGGCTCTGAGCGGCACTGAATTCCGGCTCATCTTCCAAGTACATGTCTGCCCTCCTCGCAGCATCTTCCTGCTCGCCTTCTGTGGCTTCTCTGCATAAGCGAGTTCACTACTGCTCACTCAACCTTCAATGCGGTCCGAGACACGGCTTTTCCCGACCTATCCTACTATCCTGATTATCTACTCTCCAACCCAAGATTCTAAGCGTAAGGGCGCCTGCAACATCAATGGCCCTCTCCGGTATGTCTCTCTGCCCCTACAGGTCTCCGCTTCTACACGGACGCTGCCCCTTCCGTGGGTTTTGGGGGGTTCTTCCAGGACCAGTGGTTCGCCGGGCCGTGGCCCGCTACTTTTCCCCGGAGCATTTCCTCTGCCCTACACGAGTAATTCCCAGTGGTCGTGGCCTGCGCGCTGTGGAATCACACGTGGCAGAAAAAGATGATCCCTGTCATGCTTGATAATCTCGACGTAGTGGAAGCATTAAACAAAGGTCGCTCTTCTCACCCAACATAATGTCCCCTGACCATTTCAACCTTCATCTCAAACATTCAAAGATCAAAGGCGCCTGCAACACAATAATAGCTCGCTTCGACACATCTCTCTGCCCCTACAGGTCCATGATGCGTTACACTCGCCTCCGCCGCAAAAAGGAGATTTTAACGGACCTCTATTTCTCGCTCCAGACAACCTTCCCATAACAGCAACCTGGTTCAGAGCTCGACTAAGATCCCTACTGCTCCTCTGCAATTTGTCTCCCCAGCTCTATACAGCCCACTCCTTCAGGATAGGCGCTGCCACGCGCGCGACCTCGCTGGGGCTCCCCCACTCTTCTCTGCAACAGCTGGGGCGCTGGTCCTCTTCGGCTTTCTCCACCTACATCAGGCCAGATGCGACCGCTATCATGGCAGCACAACGTCTACCGGCTTCCTCGTAAGCTCCCAGCAAAGCAATGCAAAGCAAGTCAGCAATAAGATTCTGGTGGCGGCACGCACTTTCCTCAAACGCTCAAAGATTCCTCTGCTTCAGCGTCTGGCGAATATGAGCGTGCATCTCATATTCTCAGCTCGCTCAAAGATTCCCCTGCTGCAGCGTCTGGCTGAACATGCGCGTGCGCGCATGTTCTCAGCTTGCTCAAAGATTCCCCTGCTTCAGCGTCTGGCTGAATATGAGCGTGCGCTCATATTCTCAGCTCGCTCAAAGATTCCCCTGCTTCAGCGTCTGGCTGAATATGAGCGTGCGCTCATATTCTCAGCTCGCTCAAAGATTCCCTTGCTTCAGCGTCTGGCTGAATATGAGCGTGCGCTCATATTCTCAGCTCGCTCAAAGATTCCCCTGCTGCAGCGTCTGGCTGAACATGCGCGTGCGCGCATGTTCTCAGCTCGCTCAAAGATTCCCCTGCTTCAGCGTCTGGCTGAATATGAGCGTGCGCGCATGTTCTCAGCTCGCTCAAAGATTCCCCTGCTTCAGCGTCTGGCTGAACATGCGCGTGCGCGCATGTTCTCAGCTCGCTCAAAGATTCCCCTGCTTCAGCGTCTGGCTGAACATGCGCGTGCGCGCATGTTCTCAGCTCGCTCAAAGATTCCTCTGCTTCAGCGTCTGGCGAATACGAGCACGCTCATATTCTCAGCTCGCTCTGCCTAAACAAACACGGCCCCCAGCAGACGCAGCCTGGCTGAGCGACCGTGCGAGAAGCCTCTCACTCATGCTCTCAGGCCCGCGCAGTGCGTCCTGCTATCCCAATCGCAGGCCCGCTTTTTGGGGATTATGCACGCGAGCAAGCGCCGTGCTCAACAGCATCCCTCCCGGGCCTAGGGCGCCAAACAACCTCAATCAATAAACATGCATAAATCTAATAAGTCTAACGGCATTTTCCTCATGGGTCTCTCCAAGGTGAAATGGAGCTTTCGCAAAAGTTCACTGTGGTAGACCCGGCTGCTGCTGCCCAGGCCACAGGCTGCTCTTCCTCGACTCATCAATACCAGCAACGCCCACATCCAGTCAACCAATAACCACCAGGACAGCAAGTTAAAAGCCGGAGACGCCCACTTCCCGGCCTTCTGAAGTCTGCAAGCCTCCGCCGCCCCACCTCCTCCTTCTCTCATCGAAGCGTGCTTGCCTACTGCCTCTGCCGTCACAGGTACCTAGGCCCCGGGGGGGATTATGCACGCAAGCAAGCGCCGTGCTCAACAGCATCGGGCCTAGGGCGCCAAACAACCTCAATCAATAAACATGCTTAAATCTAATAAGTCTAACGGCATTTTCCTCATGGGTCTCTCCAAGGTGAACTACCCTGCTAGTGTGCCCAAATCTGACTTGCGCCTGTGCAGAAACCCGCCAGAATGGGGAAAAAACTCAATCTAATTAAATATTTTGTTTGAACACACTATTGTTAATCATATTGAATACAGTATGATATATGCATAAAATTTAATTTATTATTTCCATTATCAACCCGACAGACCAGTCACAGGACGCGTCATGGGCCTGACGTATGCAGCAGTCAACTCAGGGACTGCGATCACACAGCAGCAGTGTAGTTTCACAGGAGCAGTGGACTGCTTAAAACAAACTTTACACGAAACTCTTACTCTTAAAACACACACGTCACAACGTGGAACCATCAACATCTCGCCTCAAATGGCATTAAAAGTGACATTTGTGTCTTAATTCGTTCGTATTTAACTTTTAAAGCAATTCGCGGACTACATGTCCGCCATCTTGGATTGCTTCGGCTGCCGTGAGACGCAAATGCACAGTTTTGCATTACATCATTAACAGCTGAGGCAGATCATCTCAACGGGCCGACCAACTCAACAGAACACCGGCACTGGGCACATCAATGTGGCTGTTAATTTTCAAACCCTTTGATGTAAATAATCAAGTTGTATTTGCACTTATTTTTCATCATCCCTAAATGGGCGCGTTAGGAGTTGGGGGGTTTTGGAAAGGAGAGTATTACTTTATACTAAGTCGAAGGTTATTTGAATAGGTTAACATACATTTAAAACAGTTTGACTTGAGCCAAAGGTTTCACGGAGCCTTTCACATGCCTTTCATGATAGTTGACTGGAAATCTGGCCCATTACTCACACAACCTTTAAGCATCTTGAGATTTTGTGTCAATATTTCCACGTACAAACTGTTTAGCCTTCATAATACCATCTAGAGCACGGATCCCAAACCTTTCAGGCCGGGACATGTGATATTTGACATAATCATGTACATTTTATGTTTAGCCCCACAACATGAGCCTGCCACCCCCATGCTTCAAAGTTGGAAAGGTATTCACTGGATTACAAGCGTTCCACTTTTCCTTGAGAATCAGAATTCTTTCTATCGCCATTGTAAGTAACAGAAAGTAGTTTATTTCTGTTATTAACTTTATGAAATTATCTTTTATTTTTTTAATGTGTGAGGTTCTGCATTTTAACTTTCTATGGCTATGGTAGCCAAGCCCATTTTCAAGGTGCTGGTTCTGGACTGGTTCTGGTCCAGAATAGCAATCCAATGTTTAATGGCAGCAGTTTTAGCACAGAATAAAAGTGAATAAAGGTAAAACAAAACAAAACATCTTATCAATTACTACATTTCTAAGAATTCCATTGGTTTGAATGGGGCAGTAGATGATGGCTCTGAGAGTTCTAGTAGTGTCAGAATTCTGGGAGTCGTAGTTCATTCAATTTTATTTTTACATACTTTATTAGTCCATTTCTGGGTTGGGGGGTGGTAATGAGAGTTGCCACCCAATGCTCATAGCACCGGTCCATTGCTGATCCTCTGCAGGTGGTGAGTCCACTGGAAGATGGCATTCTGATCCGTCAGCGATGGCTCAGCCTTGTTCTTTCAGCGGGGGCTTCAGGCAACATGGGGTTAAGTGTCTTTCCCAAGGACACAACTATAGTAGACATTAGTGGGAGTCGTTGCAGTAGTTCTTGTGGGGGGATCGAACGCACAACCTATAAATATGTTAAACCACTGTAGACATAGACCTGATAAAGGACCTCTGCCTTGCTGAGGGGTCGTTCAACAAACATCATCAATCAAACAAATAAAAACCTTATACATTAATTTCAGACCTCCTGACTGTTGTAATATGAGGCACAAAATAATGTGGATACTGTTTGCTAATTGTACTAAGTCACGTGACCAAGAGAAGGCTCTAGAGGAAATTCCCATAATAATGAATTTGTATTATTTTTTCTCAATGCAATCAAACAGCAATAATATGAAAACTATGAAAACTATTAAACTATATCTTTTCTGTCTTGCAGCCCTCTACACATTGCAGTGGTTCAAGGCAATACACCGGTTGTCCGTAAACTGCTTCATATCTTCTTGATGGAGCACAAAAGTGTTGATATCTACAACAATCTCCGGCAGGTAAACTCACGCCTCACAATGTCTCCATCCAAATTCTGTCCCCTCTTAATGAGTCTTAACCACAAAAAATAAATAAAAAATCAACAGCTACGGTTTTGTTTTAAAATTCAAGCATTGAACTTTCTTCTGTTTGTAAAACAAAGGTAGTGCTGCCATTGGAGTTATGATATTGAATCACAATGTATCACATATTTTTCCCTGGTCTAAATGTCCCTTGATTGTACAAAGCAAAAAGCTGATTTTTTTCCAATCCCTCCAAAAAGAAAGTATTGGGATTATCTCATAGGCCTCTCAATGCTTTTGTTAATGTATTTTTTTTCTTTCTTTTTTTTTTTTTTTTTTACAGTGAATAGAACTATTTAACATAGAATCACGTGAATTGTCAAATAAAGGCTACTATTTTGTTTAGGTTTTCATTCAAGTCAGTTACATTGTTTTTTAACTGAATATGACAATCACTGCAGTCAAAATAACTCAGGGCAAGGTAGGATACAAGTGTGTGTGTGTTCTGGCGATTAAATAAAGACTGATTCTTGACTGTCTGAAGTCTTATTGCAACAGCACCACTCTGTGAGAGCGAGGGTCAGGACAGGGTGAGCTATCCACCGTAGGAAACGCTTCCCTTTGGCCCTGGAGCGACACCCTGTGCAAGCATTGGGTTGAAATGGGTTTTCGTTTACAGTGCTATTAACGCATGTATCTGACAGCACTAAAAATATACATTTATGTATGGTATTGTTGAATGTAAATAAAAATATATTTAATCACTGCTTTACCTGCCTGAAACTGCAACTTTGCATCATTTCGTTTGGACAAACGAAAGAGTAGAATTTTCTGTGTAGCACTCGAAGCATACGTTGACCCGCTGCCATTGTTGTTTACATTTGTTCTCGAATATTGTGCATACCCAAATGTATGTGTGGGGAAGTTCTGATGTCATTGCAGCAGAGAATTCACACCTTTTTCTTCACGCGGCTGTGAAACAGCCCCCTCTGAACAGCGTATCTGTTCTGTTCCACTCTGGACGCTGTTTCTCAACGCTTTCGTGTTCACCTGAAACACTGTCTCTGTGTAAACGCGTCCTTGTGTAAACAGGACGCGTAATGCAGAAAGAGTTTTACATTTCTGAATGATACAATTAACTGACAGAACAAAATTACAGATAGAAGTAATAATACATAATTATCTATGCAGGTCAGGAACTGGTTATATTATGATTTCAGGGCAATAAAGGCGGCGTATTGGTTGGACGGGCCCCTGCTTCATTTTACTACATTTCCTGGAATGTTGAACAATAGCAGTAATTTTATTCAACAGACATTTACTGGTGGAAAAAGCAAGACTTAAAAAGCATGAATTCTCACTGTAAATATTTGCCTCTCCACATGCAGTGCAGGGGCAAAAAGTATTCAGTCAACCACCAATTGTGCAAGCCCTCCCACTTAGAAAGACGAGAGATGCCTCTAATTTTCATCATAGGTATACCTAAACTATAAGAAGAATAATATCAAAGAGATTTGCAATGAGGAATGGGACAAAATACCAGCAACAGTGTGTGAAAACTACTACTAAAAAGTTTGACTCTGACATTGCCAACAAAGGGTATATAACTAAATATTGAGACAGACTTTTGTTATTAACCTAATACTTATTTTGCTCCCTTATTTGCAAATTAATTAAGATTTTCTGTATTTTTCCAGATTTTTTCTTTCTTATTTGAGAAATACCTATGATGAAAATTACAGGCGTCTGTCATCTTTTTGAGTGGGAGGACTTGCACAATTTGTGGCTGACTAAATACTTTTCTGCCCCGCTGTATTAAATCTGTAACTAGTGGCATCATCTGCTTTGTCACCATGGAGACGAAACATGTCTTTTCCAGTCTCGATCAGTCCTCTTGTAAAACATTCTCAGCGTCTGTCAGAACATCCTCTTTGTCTTTGAACAGAAATCACCTGAACCGCGTTGAGCTTTGGTTCTCAGACTGGGGTTTCACACCACACTGGCTTACCAGAAATAATGCTGCTGCTATCATCAGATGTTGTGTTTCCTCATTGCTGAGGCTTTTGTTCTTTCGTTATTGTATCCTGCTTTGCCCTTTGTTCTTAAAAAACACCTGCATACGATATAGCACCAACTTTACTCCAAGAACAGTCTGCTAACACCTACTTTTCACATGCTCAAGTTATTCAATTATATCAAGTTCCATAGCACATCATTCCTGATATTTGAGTGACATGTTCACCGGAGGAACTACTTTTGACTTTATTGTCATTGGACAGTGAACTTTTTGTTTCATAAATACATTTAATTTGTCCCTACAGCGAAAGTCTTGTTTGGGAATTATGGTATGAACAAATCAGACACAACATACATTTTATTAGTATACTTTTATTTGATCTTTTCCATTTACAGAGCTGATTGGCTGAGTGAGGTCTGGTACTCTCTCGGGCGGCACGGTGGCTGAGTGGATAGCACTCTCGCCTCTCAGCAAGAAGGTCCTGGGTTCGAATCCCGGCCGGACCAGGGCCTTTCTGAGTGGAGTTTGCATGTTCTCCCCGTGTCTGCGTAGGTTTCCTCCGGGTACTCCGGTTTCCCCTGCCACTAAAAATATGTACAATAGGTCTGGCATGCGCCTCCTGTTCGGCGACCCCGCTCCCATCTCTGTGTGGAGTGAGAGGACAAGTGCTCAAAAAATAACAATTGTAAACCGCTTTGTGACTCTGGTCTGTGAAAGGCGGTATATAAATAAAGCTTACTTACTTACTTACTTACTTTCCACTGAACCATCGAATCTGAAAGATATGACAGAGGCCAAAAACGAGTTATGGAACCGCAACAGTTTAGAGAGATAGGAGCTAGTTACAGCTGTTGAGGTTTCGAAGTTAGGTATTGCAGCTTCATGTGATATTGTATGATGATCAATTCCTGATTTTCTGTGGTTACATTAAGAACAATACGAGTGAGGTTTATGTAAGAGTGCAAGTGCATTTGAATAAGACAGCTGCTGAATACTCCCACACTGGTGTTGCCCTGAGCGCTGTACAGTCTCAGGGATCAGGCCCTGTCAAAGCACTGCAGGTCTTATGTCTCCAAATACACTACTAGTGTGTAAGTACTGCAGCTCTATTGAAAGACTCCTGTAATAATCAAACTTGTTTCTTGAAAACATTTAAATGTGAATGCAAAGGAAGGCTTTGACAAATCCCTGTACGAATGAGGGCTTACACAAACGTAAATGTGAATGATAAAAAGTTTACTCGACTAAACTAAGACGCACCAATTGTGTAAATAATGGCTTATAAAGGTTGCAATGCAATAAAGATTTAGCATTGTCTGAGTGCTGACATAACCGAACCTGTTTTGTTGTTTACTGCATGTGTGTGTGAATGGGTGCTACATCTGTGCGTGGCTTTGCCGAGAAGTCACATGACAACACCCCTCCCCTATCCGCTTCTTAACATACCTATCTCTCGCTGAGGTTCAGAGGGTAGTTGCCTGGGACTTTCCCTTCTGCGTGCCTGTGTGTGTGCTGCAGTGCATTGTCCTTGTGTACTTTTCACATCTTGTTTCAGTAAGTGTGTGTGCACGTGAATAAATATTAACATAACCCATGTGAATATTACAAAAAGAGAAGTCATGAGAATCCCAATGTACAGAGCTGCAATGCCAAATTAAAATATCAACACCTAATAAAACAAATGTGGTCAAATGAACTAGAATATAGTAATTGTAACCTAAATACTAAAAAAGAACATAGACCATGTCATGATACAGTTGGTAACTTTGTAAAACCCCCGAGACGACTGCTGGGCTATTCAACAATAAATTCTAGGCCTAGGAGCTTGAGGGTTCTGCACAGTATCTTTGCTGTTTCTAGCACTGCACATTTCTGGACCGAGATTTCCGAGGTTGTTCCAAGGATCTGCTGTAACCTCCTCCAGCGCCGGGGTCACTGCCCCGGGTGCAACGATCACCACGGGCACCTTTACCATCCAGGCCCTCTCCAGCTCCTTTCTGAGCCCTTGGTATTTCTCAATATGATGAGAATAAAGTCAAAATCAAAGTCAGAAAAAAAACCCACAATAATACAATACATTCAATACAATTTTATCCTCCTAATGTAATTAAAAACATGTTTTTCTTATAGTACAGTATAGTATAGTCAATGCACATATGTAAAAGAAAAAAACAAAAAAAAACGTGTATGCAAGTACAGTGTGCCATTATCTTCCTTTTCAAGTTGGCGACGCAGTGTTTTCTTATAGTACTTCTAAAATACTCTAAATATCATGACATTAATCTTGTAAAATCATGTGAATAAACTCATGATATTATGACATTTCTAGACAGCATTAAAGTCAAACCATTAGGACTTTAATCTCAGTTAGTGTCTGTAAAGAAACATGAACGTCACGCTTCGTTGTGTGATAACACTTTTATGTTTTTGTTTGTGTCTTGTCTTTGACTGTGAGGGCTGATCTGAAGCTTGGGGCCATCTCTTGTGGTGTTTTCTCCCTTCGTCATGTGGTTTGAGGAATGTAAAACGGAGCAAGAACAGAGGGAAAGCCAAGGGATTTTCCCTCGTCATCCTGTCTTTTCCCTGGACTCCCTTCTGCCACTTCCGACATTCTTTCATTCTAATATTCTTGTCTCCTTGTCAGGTCCCTTTTTTTTTGTTCTGTTTTGCTTTGTCACTTTTTACAGGAAGTAATAAAGCACCAGATAGGAACATGACAAGAAATACATCATGTTCTGGTATTAGTCATGTTCTGTGTCCGTAAATGCTGGTAATAGGAAGTTCAAAGAGCGTTGCCCCACAGATAACACACATTTGTGTTTGGCTGAATACTTTACGTTCATATCTTCAGTTGAGTGTGAGTCATCGGATTCAGGGAAACTTTGGCCTGGAAGGAAAACCACTGGCATTGACACATTGTAGGATACCACACTTCTCCTTGTGCCTATATCTAATCCCTTAATCATCCCTTACTGGAACCAACTTGGAAACACACAAAAGACGTACGGTGAAAGTGAAACTTGGACAAAATGTTTCTGAGAATTGTGTCAGTTACTATATATTCTAAGCTAAAACGTATTAGTTACCGTCTGTGACCTGCCCCCAGCTGACTTAATTATCTCTGTGATAAATGCTGACTCACCCATGGGTACATCCTCGATTGCCACATTGCTTTGTTCTTGACCGATATATGCAATGGAGTTATTCCTGAATTTCCTGTAGATTGCTGGTGAACAGGTTTGGGGCATTTCCAATTAGCTAACCAAACCAAATCACGCAAAAGTTTTTGAGGACTTTCTTTTGAATCCAACTGTAGCTTTTGTGATTTTGTTGTCAATCAAGTTCAAGTACAGTTTATGATTCTATATGCAACTTTTGATGACAAAGTACGTGTTTGAAATTGTAGTGTAGACCCAGTGGCTGTAGGAGTGGTCAGTGGTCAGACCCAGTGGCTGTAGGAGTGGTCAGTATGGTGCCTTCACTTTTGACCACAGCCTCTTCAAAGAAAGACAGAAAAGAAATGTCACGTGTATATTTGCACTCAAGGGGTATAAGCAATTGGAATGAATAAATCAAAAGAAGAATAAAGATCAAGAATATCAATCACGACAGACACAATGAAAAACAAGTTTAACAAGCAAAATAATCACTTGGTGACAGAAGCGAGGATGATGTGTAAAAATGCCATCCAGTGCCCAATTTCTCCTCACGTAGTCAATCGTAATTCAATTCAATTTTCAATTTATTTTTGTATAGCCCTAAATCACAACAGCTGTCGTCTTTGAGGACTTAACTAATTGTCGATTCGCCAACAACATATCCGTTCCAACACAGAAATGCAATAATAACAAAGACATAGGAGCCGTTGGTGCATGGGGAGAGGAATGACCAATGTCCATAAATGTTAATAAATGTCCATACATGGTTTTAAGGGTTTCTCAACCATTTGGTAGATCAACTTTTGGCACTTTTACCATCAAACTGCTTCTCAACCATTTGGCAAAGGCCTATCATAAAATAAAATAAAAAATAATCGTTCAATAAACAAAACAAAAAACCCTGTAAAAATGTATTTTTTTTGCATGCTATTTGTGTCCTACATCTTAGAAAATTCAAAAAAGAAAAAACTAAATTGCTATCTTCAGGGAGTGAATGTTAAAGGGTTAAGCGTTCCGGATCATCACTGTCCTTAGACCCTCCTGCATCAAAATAGGTTCTGTTCCAGTTCAAGAAGTGTGTTGCTGATGTGATCGTTCTAGTCAGCTCTTGTGATGGCAGAGCTTACTCTATAGGCTCTGCAAATTCTGCTCATAAACGAATATTTTAATGTATATTCAGAATGCAAAGCAAAAGCTAATCAGGGCCTACCCCTTTCACATCCTGCTGACGACAGAGTGAAGAATAAAGAAACAAAAAACGCCAAATGTTGAATGTCTCTGCTTAAAAGATGCAGTTAGCGATGTTGTTAACTTAGCCCTAGCACCAACTCATAACCACTCCCCCCTCCCCACCCTCTCCACCAAACCAAACATCCAGCATTTTATTTTCTTTGTCACAACAGGGAGTGGGTGGCAAACGTGAAATTGGCATTTTCTGTTCAGCCATTTAAGGTTTTAGAAAATAATCCGATAACTCAGGTGTGCGCACACTCGCGAGAAACAGGAAGAGGGTGAAGGGGGTAAACGCATCCTATTGGTTCGTTAGAAATGAACAAATCCCATTGGTTTGTTTTTATCGGTCCGCTCCAAAATATTTTTTATAAAATTTTGTAGACTAAAGACATCTGGTCGATTCCATTACTATTTGAAACACATGATAACTTGACTATTTTTAGGGTTTAGGGACATTTTCCCACAATATTTAAAAAAATGTATCTGGAAAAAATCACTGACTGCATCTTTAAGTAAGTAAGTAATCTTTATTTATATACCGCCTTTCACAGACCAGAGTCACAAAGCGGTTTACAATTGTTATTTTTGGCCATTTGTCCTCTCACACCACACAGAGATTGAACTTTAATAGAGTTTAATATTTGATTTAGTTTTTTTTTTTCCAGACACCTCTTCATCTGGCAGTAATCACGCAGCAGGCAAACATGGTGGAAGCTCTACTCAAAGCAGGAGCAGATCCCGTGGCTTTGGACCGAAACGGACAGACGGCCCTGCACCTGTGCTGTGAATACGAGCAGAGAGAAGGCCTGTCTCTGCTTCTGTCACTCCGCTTGGACTCCACCTGCCTGGAGATACGCAACTACGAAGGCACGTACGGTGTATTCTCAGCACACAGCAGTGACGCCGATGTGAAGCGCTCACGTTGAGGGCCTGAGTGGTTGTTTTGGTGGAGGACATTTCCTTCCTCTGTGGTCTTCTACAAATCTCATTCATTGATAAATCAGGTCACCGGACAGTCCCTTATCAAGAACTATTTGAACATTTAAATATAGGCCTAAATTTGTGGTGAGACTTTTGGACTGCTGAAATGACAGGATTTTTCTGTCCTACTCCAGCTTTACATAATCTATATCACATAATTCATAGTCAGATTGAGGTAATAGCATGAAACAAAGCTATTATTGTAAAGAGGCATTACACAATCCTGCCCGTATAGAACTTTTCCATCTACATTGGAGCCAAGCCAATCACTTCAGGCCAAGTTAAAGGTCATATCTGCTTAATTCAATCCAACAAAGGAATTCAGATTATCAAGCACCTTTGAATAATGTACAATTTTACAAAGTTACAAGCATTTCAACGGCTTGCTAAAAATGTACAGGAGGCCTCATCTCTAGCATTGTTTAAAAACTGGTCTATTTAGCTTGTGTGTATGACTGAGTTTTAATAATACATATAATAATGAGTTTTAAGTCTGACCTTGAGTGTTGTTTTTATATTGGGATGGTTTTAGCAATGTTCATAATGTTTGTAAATGTGTATGATTGTGCATTTGCAGAGCACTTTAGGTTGCACTGCATTAATTGGACTCTATAAATAAACTTGGCAGATATATCAGATTTCATCAGAAAAGTTGCACAATGCATCTTTAAGTGATTTAACTATGTGCGAAACTCTGTTGGAATGTTAAAGGGAAACGGAAACTTACCACTATCTGAAAACTTTGTCTCTTTAGGTCTGAGCCCTCTTCATTTAGCAGTGCTGCACGGTCAAAAGGAACTGGCTCGAATGTTGATCGATGCTGGAGCCGATATTAACTCGATGGTCAGTCTCTTTTTGCTCATAGGAAAGAATACTATTAAAAAAACATGACTACTAACATGTTTGTATTTTCTCATTTCAATAGGATAATAAAAGTGGTCAAACCCCCCTGATGCATGCCATCGAGAGCAATAATGTGAATATGGTCCACTTCCTCATTGAGGTAATGTGCATTTCATTTGTTGTGAGAAAAAATGTACAACCTGCAAATCATACAATGAAATAAACACACACTTGCTACAGGAGAATAACTATCTCTTTCTAACTCGCTTACTTACTTGCTTACTTACTTACTGTCTAACTTACTAACAATTACTTACTTACTTTACTTACTTACTCACTTATACTTACTTACTTGCTTACTGTCTAACATACTTAATTGCTTACTTACTTACTGTCTAACTTACTTACCTGCTTACAAACAAAAAAGTGTCTTGATTTTTGTATGTGATGTTCTCTAGTACTACTTTGTGATGCAGTCTGCAGTTAAACATGTGTTTATATAAGCTATACATCTGCTTTGAATATAAACATTTATTACAGTTGCTTTATAAAGTATTCCACCCATAATAAATTAGGTTTTGCTTGAATCTTGAATCTTCTAACCTCATGCACACATGATCTGTTCATACACTGCCCCCTTGTGGCAGCCTTTGATCTTGGCTGGATCTGTAGACCAATATTTTTCACAACAAATAGTTTTAATTGGTTAGAATTCTTCATCAAGCCATTAAAATAAGAAAACCACCATTAATTCTATACCATCATATATACAATAGCACTGTTCTAATTGAATGTTGTTTGCAGAATGGTTGTGAGGTCAACAGTCAGTCGTACAGCCGCAACACAGCTTTACACTGCGCCTGTGGCCGTGGGCAGGTGGAAACGGTGCGACTGCTGCTGAAAAGTGGAGCTGACACTGGACTCAAAAACTACCACAATGACACCCCTGTTATGGTGACCACCAATAGAAAGGTAATGAGTGTTTTTATTTTGCTTTGCGTCTTCGTCAAATGTCATAAAACTTCACAAAGTTACATAGAAAAAATATTTAGTGTGCGTTTGAGCTTCTATTGTTGTGTTGTGTTCATCTGTTTGTATGGGCTCCATTTTATATCACTTATCTTAGTGTTTGACATTTCCTGTGGTTTTTTTTTTTTTTTTTTTAAGATTAAGAGATCCTTTATTCATCCCACAGTGGGGAAATTTCAGTGTTGCATCACCGGCTAAATAAAAGTCAAAATGAGGAGCACACAGCACAAGATAGATTAACCAATGAATAATTCTAAAACAACATAAAAAATATAATACAATATTTAGCTTTAGCATAATTAGGAAGCAAAACTAAAATCTCCAACTTGAAAAATTAAGAATTAAGTATACAATCCCCAACCATGATAAAGAAGGAAGAATAAGTTTAATGTATCTGTAAATATTACTAAACAGCCTAAAAATGAATCAAAAATCGTTCATTTCAACGATTGAACGAAAATTGTTCAATCGTTCATTTCAACGATTGAACGATTTTTGATCTTTTAGCACCAAACTCCGGCTAAAAGAGAGTAATCATGTAGCTGCTGCCATCTAGAGGCCAATATTATTTAGTGTTATAATAAAACTGGCATCTCAGGTTACATATTAATGTTGGACAGCAATAATATGTTTTACCATTTTTTAAAACAGATTTCAGATGTAATACGTGGAAAAAGTTCTAAACAAGTGCGAATCCAAGATCAGCAGTATCTGAGTCCTTCACACAGGAGCACAGTGAGCGATAGTGGTAAGTCGCCGACATTATCAATACTGTACTTAAACATAAAACATTGTTATAATAAATAAAGTTATTTTCTCTGTATTTCAGACCCTTCTTCTCCAAGTCAGAGCCGTGTGTGTTCGCCATCCTCCGCTCTCTTCATGTCTCACCAAAGGCACCCACGGTCACCGAATGGAATCCCCTTTTTAAGCCAACAGTTCAGCTCTCCACATTCACCTGTCAACGTTTATCATCCAGTTACAATGAACTTCGATGCTTAAACGCTTTCATTTTGGCACACAGACTTTATTTGACAGAGGAGAGATTTTGTGGACATTTAGCAAACTGCAGAGCTGAGAATGTATCTTTTGCTGGTGAGTTTGAGTCGGCCTGGACAACGAGCCGGGCTATATGTGCTACTTCCATCCATTCTAGCTCCCTTCTTGAGGGTGATGAAAGGCACCTTTAAAACTAGTACTCCCAGAGCAGTCAATTTGACGGCTTTTCAAATTGGAAGTGTAATTACTCGGCTCGTGGACGTTTTTGGTCTTCAAAATCTTTGTAATTAAGTGACAAAGTTAAACTGGTCCTGTACAGGTTCAGAACAATCTTAACTTGGAGCAAGTGCTAGTTACCATAGCAACACTATGGTAGTTAGCATTTATTTATAGATACAACAAAAAAACATGATGACTATTATAAACGATGCAGTGAAAAAAAACAGGGGATTTTATCAGAATTCCTTTAGTTTGAATGTGAGCCGTCACAATGACTGCTCTGGGAGTCCTAGTGTTAAATGGTTGATGATAAACTATGTTGATGTGCTATTTCTGGTCAGATTCTATGCAATTTCATAATAGTATTTATTTACCAATTACAAGACTTTGTGATATTCTGTTTATAATATGTATTTGTGCAGTATGATCAGTGGTTAGGGAGCTGTTCCAACAACTTGAAGAGTCTTGTTTTGAGGCAAGACTGACGCTAGAATGTAGTATGCTTGCTGGTAGTCAGTTCGTTTTCTTTCTACCTTCTGAATGGATGAATAACTTTGGTGAGACACATGTAGAATTTTTCAAAGCTGATGAAGAGCATTACAAATGTGAATAAAACAGCTTGTCAATGTAAATAAAGCACTTTAACATTGTTTCTAGCACGGCGTATCTCCGGTGTTTATGTAAACAGGTGAAAATCGAAGATCCGTCTTTTGTTGAAATTATAATGCTGCTTTATAGTGTATTTTATGCGATGTCTATAACATAAAGGACTTCACAGTTTGTATAAGTAAACTGCAATAACTTGACTTTTAATTGTGAAAATGGCATGGTTTAAATATCTGCACTGAACCCAAATAAAAAAGCCCTATATGCATTTTGAAGCCAGCGCCCATCAGACCTGCGAAGCTACGTGGGTCAGGACTCGGTTAGTATTGTGATGGGAGACCTCAGGGAGCAACAGATGCTAGAGTGGGCTAATCTGTCACTGTGTTCTTAGGCAAGAGTCAGACATAACCCACTTTCCATAGAAAGTGTCTGGTGTGTTGGTAGGGGTTGACACTGGTTGTCTCACTTTTGACAGTGTGCCCCAGGGCACTTGTGGCACTTGTGGCTACAGTAGTAGTTGTAGGGAGTGAAAGAATATTGTCATCATGTGAGTGTTCATAAAACACTATAAAAACAATGCAATATTATTTTTCTTCTTCTTATTACTATTATTATTATTGTTGTTATTTTTATTAATACTATAATTATTAATAAATAGTATTTTAAGTGTAGCAGACAGGCGCATTACCCTTGGTATGTCATTCACAGCCAATACGTTTAAGTATTCTCTGTTTTTGACCAATCACATGCACCGAGAGATCACACCGGCTTAGCATATTAGCCAATCAGCTGCTGCGGTTGGGAAGTAGGCGGGTCTTGTGGGCTACGATCACGGATGTTTCCTTGAACTTTGCTGTGTCGGATCGTCAGTGTAAGTATTACGCTCACATGAACCATACTTCATCGTGATTACTACGACACATTTACACCACAAAAACTCGTATTAGGGACCGGTTCTGTGGCGTACTTTACTCTGATAGAAGCGATATCAGTGTGAAGGGTCCACACGGGCTACTGATAGGGGGGACTTAGCTCTAGCTAGCTTCAAATCATAGCCGCTTTACCCGAATTAACATGCTTGCCATAGGGTCTGAGCGATTCTAGGACAACGTCCAATTGGCAACATTGCACAATTATGAGTCGATTTGCATCTGCAGGAGCTGTTAAATGTCTGAAAGCTATATTGACCAGCAGAGCAGACATGATGGGAACATGCAGAGTACCTTATGGTGTCCCTCTTCTTTCTGTTTTGGGGTTGTCTCTTTAGTCTTCTACACTTTGAGTAAACAGAAAAAAAGGAACTGATCCGAGAATTACGGGCATTTCATATTATGTTTTTAACTGTTTACTAAGTTTGAGCAAATGCGATTAACTTTGCTAACAACTATAAAATTTCGATTAATCTTGTAGCACTAGTCGTTATAAGTAAATGTTGTGTCATATTTATAAAACTAACACTGGATAAACATTGGATTTTGCAGCCAGTATTCTACCAAGTCAGTTCTTGTGCGTTTGAATGATGCCCTACTTTTTCTGCATGTAAATGATACAAGCATATTTGTAGGTCTCAAATTAACATGTTTTCTTCCTCAGTCTTTGAAAGTCACAAAGAATGGGAAGTGTGTTGGCTGCGAGCTCTCCCAGCCCGGATCCACCTGCGCCTGGAGCTGGTGCAGTGGTTCCTGGGCTGACTGTGCCCCCAGGGTTCACCATGCCCTCTGTGGCCTTGTCTTCAGCCTCTGAGCAGCCGGCTGAGAGAGAGGCTTCTCTGCCAAACCCCGGCACTTATGAAGAGTGTCATCGCAAGTGCAAAGGTGGTCATTATTTTATTTAACGATAGAGTACGAATTCTTGGAATCATAAACTATTAACCATTTTATACAATCTATGTAATAAGTTCCTGGCTCTAAAACTGTTTGTTTGTATCACTGGTTTAACATCACATTTTTGGCCTCTGTCACATCTTAAGATCAGCTGTTTCAGTGAAAAAGAGAGTACACACTCAGTACTAACTCAGCCAATCAGCTCTCTGTATGTAAATACAGTGCCTTGCGAAAGTATTCGGCCCCCTTGAACCTTTCAACATTTCGCCACATTTCAGGCTTCAAACATAAAGATATAAAATTTCAATTTTTTGTCATGAATCAAAAAGTGGGACACAATCGTGAAGTGGAATGAAATTTATTGGATAATTTAAACTTTTTTAACAAATAGAAAACTGAAAAGTGGGGCGTGCAATATTATTACCCTTTGCTTTCAGTGCAGCAAACTCACTCCAGAAGTTCAGTGAGGATCTTTGAATGATCCAATGTTGTCCTAAATGACTGATGATGATAAATAGAATGCACCTGTGTGTAGTCAAGTCTCCGTATAAATGCACCTGCTCTTTGATAGTCTCAGGGTTCTGTTTAAAGCGCAGAGAGAACCATGAAGACAAAGGAACACACCAGGCAGGTCCGAGATACTGTTGTGGAGAAGTTTAAAGCCGGATTTGGATACAAAAAGATTACCCAAGCTTTAAACATCTCAAGGAGCACTGTGCAAGCAATTATATTGAAATGGAAGGAGTATCAGACCACTGCAAATCTACCAAGACCCGGCCGTCCCTCCAAACTTTCATCTCAAACAAGGAGAAGACTGATCAGAGATGCAGCCAAGAGGCCCATGATCACTCTGGATGAACTGCAGATAACTACAGCTGAGGTGGGAGAGTCTGTCCATAGGACAACAATCATTCGTGCACTGCACAAATCTGGCCTTTATGGAAGAGTGGCAAGAAGAAAGCCATTTCTCAAAGATATCCATAAAAAGTCTTGTTTAAAGTTTGCCACAAGCCACCTGGGAGACACACCAAACCTGTGGAAGAAGGTGCTCTGGTCAGATGAAACCAAAATCGAACTTTTTGGCCACAATGCAAAACGATATGTTTGGCGTAAAAGCAACACAGCTCATCACTCTGAACACACCATCCCCACTGTCAAACATGGTGGTGGCAGCATCATGGTTTGGGCCTGCTTTTCTTCAGCAGGGACAGGGAAGATGGCTAAAATTGATGGGAAGATGGATGGAGCCAAATACAGGACCATTCTGGAAGAAAACCTGTTGGAGTCTGCAAAAGACCTGAGACTGGGACGGAGATTTATCTTCCAACAGGACAATGATCCAAAACATAAAGCCAAATCTACAATGGAATGGTTCACAAATAGACGTATCCAGGTGTTAGAATGGCCAAGTCAAAGTCCAGACCTGAATCCAATCGACAATCTGTGGAAAGAGCTGAAGACTGCTGTTCACAAACGCTCTCCATCCAACCTCACTGAGCTCGAGCTGTTTTGCAAGGAAGAATGGGCAAGAATTCCAGTCTCTCGATGTGCAAAACTGATAGACATACCCCAAGCGACTTGTAGCTGTAATTGCAGCAAAAGGTGGCGCTACAAAGTATTAGCGCAAGGGGGCCGAATAATATTGCACGTCCCACTTTCAGTTTTGTTTGTTAAAGTTTAAATTATCCAATACATTTTGTTCCACTTCACGATTGTGTCCCACTTGTTGTTGATTCTTGACAAAAATTTTTATTTTTATATCTTTATGTTTGAAGCCTGAAATAATTCCTTTATTCGTCCCACAGTGGGGAAATTTCGAAATGTTGAAAGGTTCAAGGGGGCCGAATACTTTCGCAAGATACTGTATACTGTATATAACATCTAGTAAGATAGACGGCATGTTGTGGTTTGAATTGTTGAGGAAAGGTTAATTAAACAAAAGTAATGTTGGGAAAACATCAGGCAAAAATAAAGTTAGGTACTCCAGCTTTAGGAGGGTGGTCCTCCTTCACTTTTTTGTCTGAAAAAGTGAATACATGTGAAAAGTACCAAGAACCAAACAGTTTTTAGAAGGATACGCTGACATAGTACTTTTTTTGTTGTTAATGAAGTTGTGCAGATTTATTTTATTTCCAATGCTTTTTATATTGTGATTCCACATTTTTACAATGTTTTGAGTCCTTCTTCTGAAACGTTTCTGTTTCATTTGCAGAGGTGTTTCCTTTACAGATGGAAGGCGTGCGGTTGATGGTTAACAAAGGCTTGAGTAACAACTTTCAAGTTAGCCATACCGTCACTCTAAGCACTGTAGCAGATTCGGGCTATCGTTTCGGTACCACCTACGTAGGAAGTAAACAAACCAGCCCCACAGAGGTAACATGGACACGTCAAGATGTTTCAAGACTATGTACTAAACCAAAACCTCCTCGCTATTATTGCTAGTCTTTCCCAGTGGTGGTTGGTGATATGGACAATACCGGCAGCCTGAACGCCCAGATAATACATCAGCTCACATCTGCTGTTCGATCCAAAATAGCAATTCAGGTATTTAGCCTTTTTTCAACATACATCGAAGACTCGGATGATAATAAACACATGCAAAGTCATTGTGGCTCTTTGTTTCAGACCCAACAGCAGAAATTTGTCAACTGGCAGTGCGACATGGAGTACAGAGGAGAAGATTTTACTTCGGCCGTGACGCTCGGAAACCCTGATCTACTTTTAGGATCAGGTACAAGTGGACAACATAACATAGATTAGATAAAACTTTATTGATCTCATAATGGAGATTTTAAATGTCACATTTGGCATAGATGGGATCACTCGAGGTGTGCAAAAAGATAGGAAATGTGCAGACATGTTAAAAAGGTATTTGCGAGGTTAAAAAGAGGATTGTGTTTATTGGACACTATAATTAATTTGAGGCAAGGATATGCTTTCAAGTGGAGGAGTTCAATTATCTCAGGGTGTTGATCTGTGAGGGAGGCATGAATGTGAGATGGTGACAGATGGATAATGCTTTTTCTTTCACTGTTAGTGGTTCTGTGAAGCCAATTATTAACATTGTAATGACAACAGAAACTACCCAAACCTTGACATTGTTCAGAACATTACATTCCCCACTTCTCAAAAGTATATTGTGTACTGCTCCTTTAACATCGATGACAGCTTGGAGCCCTCTGTAATAGTTGTGTGCCCATTCTTTTTTTGCAAGACTCTTCCAAATCTTGTAAATTCCTGGGCCACCTTGCATGAACTTGACATTTGACCTTATTCCCCAGAGATCAGCTCAGTGATGTCATTTTATTTAGAAATTATATTTATATGACAATATAGGGCCGCACACAACCAAAAAAAAGTTTGTTATAATGAGAACAAAATAAGTGCCTGGGGATGTAAACTTTCATAGGCATTGGTCATCCGCCTCTTATGGACTATGTGTTTGTTGTGATTGCGTTTGTTATTGATTTTGCATTTTTGCATCATTTGATTCTCTGATCTGTGTTGGCGAATCTGGCAACTGTGTAAAGTCCTCCACGATGACTACTTTTGTGACTTAGGGCTATATTGTAAAAAATAATTCATTGTTTTAGGCAGACCAAATTCCAGTATATTTGATAAATTAAACACATTTTTAAACTATAACCTCTTTTTTTTCCCCTCATCAGGCCTTTTAGTGGCCCACTATCTGCAGTCCATCACGCCGTCTCTGGCTTTGGGAGGTGAGCTCGTGTATCACCGGAGACCTGGGGATGAGGGAACAGTCACTTCCTTTTTAGGAAGATATACAGGTCAGAACCACCACTCACATCTGAACAGCCTCAAGAGTTTTACTTGACCTCCAGTCTTCTCTCTCAGGTGATAACTATGTAGCGACATTGACCTTGGGCAGTGCAGGAGCTCATGCAACATACTACCACAAAGCCAATGACCAGGTAATAATAATCTTAATTTATATTATTTTTAATTTATACTCAGTAATGCGGTTTTCCTTGTTTTTTTTTATTTATTTAAATCCAGTTACAGTTAGGAGTTGAATTTGAAGCCAATACACGAATGCAAGAAACATCAACCTCTTTGGCTTATCAGTTAGACCTCCCTAAAGCTAATTTCCTCTTTAAAGGTATGGTGTAGCATTTGTATTTAGAATTGTATCTGGTTGCTTTGTTTGATTTACATGGTACGTTTTCTTTCCTTTTAGGTACAATTGATAGTAATTGGGTTGTAGGAGCCACCCTTGAAAAGAAACTTCCCCCACTGCCGCTTACACTAGCTTTGGGAGCTTTTTTAAATCATCGCAAGAATAAGTTTCAGTGCGGCTTTGGCGTCACTATTGGTTAAACAGCTCTGAGCCGTGTCCTTGTTTTGGACCAGCTTTAACATCACAAACACGGCAGTTCAACAAAAAGACTCTTACGACACAGAACAAGGTGGGACGACAAAGAGACATTGGAATGGTTAAGCCATGCCTGTATTTTGTAGTACTCAGTCTATCCATTTTAGTGTATGTGAGTCAGACTGGTTTAGCGTGTGTCAGATGGATGAAATGTCAGACAAAATAAATGTAACTTTTTATTCATTTGTTGACTTGTAATGTCCAGGTTTGAGAGTCAAATGAAGATGAGCTGATGCAATCATGAGGTTATATTAGATTTTATTCTGGCTGAAAGCAGATAGTAAAGGATTGCAGGCTAAAATAGGCAACACATTCCACTCATTGAAGGTATTGTGATAAACACTAAAGTACAGCACAAGGGGATTAAGTAAGCGAATAATTTAAGAATGATAGTAGCAACATGATCATTGGTAAACATAAAACATACTGAACAATATTCCAAGTCATGATGGAATTATCCTGTGAATGCCTCAAAACAAGCCTTTCATTGCATGAAAATAATCAACAATCCCAGAAGAATGAGGACTGGAGAAGAAATCATGTCCGGAGCAAAACCAAATACGCTGTCATTGAATAAGACATTGAACAGATTAGCAACTTGTGACATGAGGTTTTTGTGATCTTGAAAGTCTTCTTTTACTAGAATACAAATTACCTTTGGTCCTTTGTGGTTGTGCGAGGATGAGGACTGCAAATACATGATGTAAAGTAAAGATTGATATGAGTGCAACACTTAAAATAGTAGTTATGTAAAAAAGTCCATTGTGTTACCTTGAGTGACACAATTAAAGTAAATATAAGTAATGAACTTATATTTACATTATATATATTATTCTGTACAATGTTTATTTTAATGTCTTTAGAAACCGTATCTTACTTGGGATGGCATGGACCCTCATCGCGCTCGTCATATTGTTGTGGACGCTCTGGGGGACATGGGAGTTCACCAACAAAGTTCAGGGTACTGACATCTAAAATATAAATCAATTGATCAAAATAACATCAGCATTTTGAAACCAATTTCTTTCATACCGTCAAAGAAAACATTAAACACAGCACTTCCTCCTTTCAAAAAGTGTTGAAGTTGAGTTTCCTTGAAGAGCCTGAAACGAGTCGAGCCGATCAAGGGACCATAATAGACCGTTTGATTATTCTCATCGATGTAAAAGTTTCCATGGTCTTCAGGTTTGCCCCAGAGGTAGTTGCCTGTGTCAATATAAAAGACACCTTTATGATCAGCAGGTTAACTACACAGTGTTGTGTTTATTTGTTTGTTTTCTCACCAGTTCCATTCAGGCGCTCATTGTTGGATGTGACACTTAACTCATAGGACATGTGATTCTGAAAGTTTGGAGTCTGGTCTAGCATTTGCATCGTTACATGTGATTCTGGCACTGGCCAACTCAGCTTCTCATCATATTGGCCGGACACAAGTTGCACATACACCCCGATGTATGGGTGTTTTATTGAAACACTAAAGGCGTATGCATAACCCAAGGTGGAATAATACGTTGAGCTGTAAATGATGTAACCAGTGCTGCTAGTGTTATATATCTCCTGTAGATTGTTAATCTGGAGCGTTGCATGTGGACACTGAAGCTCAGACAGGTTTATGTCATCGATGGAAATTCCTCCTGTTGTTGATAGCTTTCCTTTTCGCACCTCAAACTCCACCTGGAAGGACTTGGAAGTCTCGAACGGTACATACTTGGTCTGCCAGTGTTTTGTCAGTGGACCTGGACAGAAGATGCATTTGTGAAACATTTGATTCAATACACATTACTTTTTAACTGTAACTCTTTATTTGAGCTTTTTATTTATTAACCATTTTCATTTGTCAAGTGTCTTTGAGTGTCCAAAAAGCACAATACAGGTATGATATTATCACTGTTATTATTATTATTATGATTGTGTTGTATTTGTTACCAGATATCTTTTCAACGAGGCGACGACGTCCTTGATGATCTAGTTCATTCTCAAACTCTCTGATCCAGACGTTAAGAACATCAGATTCACTGTCCTTGTGATAGTAATAAAACTGCAAACACTTCGTAATGCATGCTCGTTTCGGTGCCATCCTCTTGGTCTCGAGCCAGGCCGAGTCTCCCTCTGTAGCGTTCGCGGTGCTCACATGCATGAAGTAGCTGGTGCCTATGTGTATGGTTTGGATAGAAAAGTCAATTTACAGTGCCTTGCGAAAGTATTCGGCCCCCTTGAACCTTTCGACATTTCGCCACATTTCAGGCTTCAAATATAAAGATATAAAACATTTATTTTTTGTCATGAATCAACAACAAGTGGGACACAATCGTGAAGTGGAACAAAATTTATTGGATAATTTAAACTTTTTCAACAAATAAAAAACTGAAAAGTGGGGCGTGCAATATTATTCGGCCCCTTTACTTTCAGTGCAGCAAACTCACTCCAGAAGTTCAGTGAGGATCTTTGAATGATCCAATATTGTCCTAAATGACTGATGATGATAAATAGAATGCACCTGTGTGTAATCAAGTCTCCGTATAAATGCACCTGATCTTTGATAGTCTCAGGGTTCTGTTTAAAGCGCAGAGAGAACCATGAAGACAAAGGAACACACCAGGCAGGTCCAAGATACTGTTGTGGAGAAGTTTAAAGCCGGATTTGGATACAAAAAGATTTACCAAGCTTTAAACATCTCAAGGAGCACTGTGCAAGCAATTATATTGAAATGGAAGGAGTATCAGACCACTGCAAATCTACCAAGACCCGGCCGTCCCTCCAAACTTTCATCTCAAACAAGGAGAAGACTGATCAGAGATGCAGACAAGAGGCCCATGATCAGTCTGGATGAACTGCAGATAACTACAGCTGAGGTGGGAGAGTCTGTCCATAGGACAACAATAAGTTGTGCAATGCATAAATCTGGCCTTTATGGAAGAGTGGCAAGAAGAAAGCCATTTCTCAAAGATATCCATAAAAAGTCTTGTTTAAAGTTTGCCACAAGCCACCTGGGAGACACACCAAACCTGTGGAAGAAGGTGCTCTGGTCAGATGAAACCAAAATCGAACTTTTTGGCCACAATGCAAAACGATATGTTTGGCGTAAAAGCAACACAGCTCATGACCCTGAACACACCATCCCCACTGTCAAACATGGTGGTGGCAGCATCATGGTTTGGGCCTGCTTTTCTTCAGCAGGGACAGGGAAGATGGATGGAGCCAAATACAGGACCATTCTGGAAGAAAACCTGTTGGAGTCTGCAAAAGACCTGAGACTGGGACGGAGATTTATCTTCCAACAGGACAATGATCCAAAACATAAAGCCAAATCTACAATGGAATGGTTCACAAATAGACGTATCCAGGTGTTAGAATGGCCAAGTCAAAGTCCAGACCTGAATCCAATCGAGAATCTGTGGAAAGAGCTGAAGACTGCTGTTCACAAACGCTCTCCATCCAACCTCACTGAGCTCGAGCTGTTTTGCAAGGAAGAATGGGCAAGAATTCCAGTCTCTCGATGTGCAAAACTGATAGAGACATACCCCAAGCGACTTGTAGCTGTAATTGCAGCAAAAGGTGGCGCTACAAAGTATTAGCGCAAGGGGGCCAAATAATATTGCACGCCCCACTTTTCAGTTTTTCATTTGTTAAAAAAGTTTAAATTATCCAATAAATTTCGTTCCACTTCACGATTGTGTCCCACTTGTTGTTGATTCTTGACAAAAAAAATATTTTTTATATCTTTATGTTTGAAGCCTGAAATGTGGCGAAATGTTGAAAGGTTCAAGGGGGACGAATATACACTGTATAAATAGGTATTTTATGGAATATACATTTATTATTATAGTGTAGATGCATACCATTGTCTCCCACAGGTTCTGTAAAAAATAAGAAAAACAAAGCCTATTACTTATAGACATGAACAATCGTATCTGTTTTTTCCGCATTTCAATTTTATCCTTGTGCTCTGTCATATCATGATCAAATATTCTCTTGTGGAGTGCTGGGTCTTGACCATTCCCATTCCTGAGCTCAAGCCACAAAACTTTATGAAAGGCTTTAACTATTGAGATGACACTCAAACGAATGCATTTGAGGGTTATTTATTCATTTAAAGTAAGTTGTTTTCAAGCCATATTTACAGTATGTTGTTTTCAAGCCATATTTACAGTTTGTTGTTTGCTGCATACCTTGCATACTTCCAGTCGGGAGGCTGCTGTGGTCTGAGGTAGGACCTCCAAAAGCCTGCAATACCTTCTCCCATCTCACGAGGCCCTTAGAGCAGTGTGTCATAGGACAGGCCATGTCGTGAGTGAAGTCACAGTGCAGCATAAATACAAGACTTGACTCTGTAAACATTGTGGAAAAGTATTATTAAAGCAATAACAGGCCAATCCAGTATTTTCTAACATACCACATTTGTATAACATATTCAGCTCCTGAACATCTCTTGCACTCATGCCCAAGGATTGGCCAATAATGGACTTGAACTCTGGAATCTTGGGGATTATTGTGGGTTCATTTCCATTGGAGAAAGCAAATTGTCCATAATGCATCACAGACCAGTAGTCATACGGACTTCCCTGAGGTGAATAGGTTTCTTCAGGTCCTTTATCGAAATTGTATTCCAATCCTATTTGCAATTACAAAATAAAAAAAGGTTCATGGTCAGTGGTCAATAATCAACAACTTTTACACAAGAAAAAGCCACTACCATTTTCCACATTTGTGAAATTAATAGTCACATAATCATCTCTGTCAAATCTTTGGTGTTCGTGCTGGAAGCCGAGAGCGTGCAGAAGCTCATGCTCCACGGTGCTGATATATTGACATCCGTCTGACAATGAAAGGTTCTGTCCATTTTTCTCATATCTTCCAACCCAAGACGAACACCTAGAAGACAATTCCAAAACATCACCCCTCTGCGGCGCACATGAGACAGTACTGTAGTGCATACCCATTGTCGTCAACTACACGAATGAAGTACTCTTCTTCCCCCCCCCATGGTTTGAAGTCGATGCAGGATTTTAGTCTAAACCGGTCCAAAGCTCTTAAGACGACAGCCTTTGTCTCCAAGGCTTTCATTGAAGGAAAGAATATTTATAATCCTACTAAACACTTTGGCACAAACATACACATTTGCCTCTAGCTTCCAATGATATTACCAATTTTTCCATCAAAAATGTATTCCACTGGGGACTTCCACAACTTGTCTCTGTTCACAATGGTACTGTCTTGTGGACTGTTTAGGGGCTTGACCTTCTTCACAGTGTGTAAAATGTAAAAAAAACAAAAAACATCTATAAATTAACAGTTGGTTTAAGGAATATAAATACTCACCTTATGTACGTCGTCCTGGCCTAGTTAAATAAATAACAATAAAAAATAAAAAAACATGGTACTGAATTAATGGCATCCTAATTATAACCATAGATCATTACCTTTATTTATTTCAGGAATAGACTTCCACTCTCTAATTTCTGTAGAAAATGTACAAAAATGACGGTAATTATTTGCACAAGAACAGAAGAGAATAACGGAGTGGATAGCTTGCCTTCTACTTTGCCTCGTCGCTGTTAGACAAAACAACAACAAGATATAATATATAATTTTAAGATATAATAAATGTAACTAAATCCTGCAAGTCGCCACCTACTTCTTTTTGAGAGAGTTCAGATGAATCCGCCAAGTTCACCCACAGAATGAGAAAAAGAAAGAACGTCTTCATGGTGGACGCTGACACTGAGTTACAGTGAACTTGTGAGTAAAGTTTCCAAGTACAAGCGTTCCCGTGTTTATATACTTCAACTTATGCAAAATATGTAGGACCAGTTTCCAGCAGCATTTTTGTTTGAAGCTTATTGTAATTGCACAAAAGACAGAAGACGGTGTCAGGCAGGCTAGGCTACATTTTTTGCTCAGTTATGAATCGTGATCTTGTGGGAGAGTGGAGCCACAGACATGGGGGGAGAAGATGGCAGAATGGAGATGATAGAAAAAAAATCATTAATAATAATAATAATCATTAATGAATATATTACATGGATGAATGACAGACCATAGTAGTACTTTATCTTTTAATGTCTATGTAAAACACACTTGATGTCACTCTAAAAATGTATATGGTATCTTACAATCAAATTAGTAAATTGTTCTAATCCAACATCACACTTTGAAATCTCATTAATTGTCTAATGTTTACTTCTGAATGCGCTGGAAAACGGCTGCAAGTCCTAAGTAGCTCTGAAACAGTTTTGTGCTTTACAATTTATTTATTTTTATTGCTTTTTTCACCTGAGATGTTGCTGCAGCTGCAGTACAGTGTTCGTGGTTTTACACTGGTCCAGACCAGAGCAGAGAGGATTCATGGTCCGAACCAAGTGGATGAGCCGAAAATCCACTGGAGAAATGCAACCTTGTTTAAAAATGCAAATGAAGCGTTCAGCATTTTACTTTGGACTAGAGCAGAGAAAATGCTCCGAACCAAGCAGCTACTCCATCTTTTGACCTGTCCTGCTCCACCCAGAGGCTTCTCCATCTGTGCTGCTCTGACCCGTCCTGCTCCACCCAGAGGCTACTCCATCTGTGCTGCTCTGACCCGTCCTGCTCCACCCAGCGGCTACTTCATCTGTGCTGCTCTGACCCGTCCTGCTCCACCCAGCGGCTACTCCATCTGTGCTGCTCTGACCCGTCCTGCTCCACCCAAAGGCTACTCCATCTGTGCTTCTCTGACCCGTCCTGCTCCACCCAGAGGCTACTCCATCTGTGCTGCTCTGACCCGTCCTGCTCCACCCAGAGGCTACTCCATCTCTGCTTCTCTGACCCGTCCTGCTAAACCCAGAGGCTACTCCATCTCTGCTTCTCTGACCCGTCCTGCTCCACCCAGCGGCTACTCCATCTGTGCTGCTCTGACCCGTCCTGCTCCACCCAAAGGCTACTCCATCTCTGCTTCTCTGACCCGTCCTGCTCCACCCAGCGGCTACTCCATCTGTGCTGCTCTGACCCGTCCTGCTCCACCCAGAGGCTACTCCATCTGTGCTGCTCTGACCCGTCCTGCTCCACCCAGAGGCTACTCCATCTCTGCTGCTCTGACCCGTCCTGCTCCACCCAGAGGTTACTCCATCTCTGCTGCTGTGACCTGAATGGCTGTTGCTGATTATTACTATTGTTATCATTTTAGAATGATCAATTTTTTATTTTGTTTTATTTTTGCTGCTACTGGACACCTGAATTTCTCCTACTGGGATCAATAAGGTATCTATCTAACTATCTAACTAATGCAGCGGGCGGATCTAAAATACACAGGAAGTAAGTGTCCGAGATTTTATACATAATTCTTGCTTTGATGAACATATTACAAATTCAAAAAGTCAATTTAAAACGTCAAAACCCGTTGTTCTGAACTCACCGCATAAGATAAGATAAGATAAACTTTATTCATCTCACAATAGAGAAATGTACATGCATGTCGCATTTGGCACAGATAGAATCACTCAGATTGTGCAAAAGACAGAAGTGTGCAACATGATTCCTGCACGCAACACATATCTCAACTGTGTAATTATAATGTACAGTGTCGCTGGTCTGGAAGCTGTCACATTCTTTTCTCTCTCAGAAATGTGGATATTACTATTGTTTCACGACAAAATACTGCACTCTTTATTATTTTGGCCACAAAGCATGAAGAAAGACGCATCTTAATAACTTTTCAAGGTTCGAGGTTCCAGGATTATAATCGCCTCAGGGAAATTTGTCTCACGGTGCTGTTGGATACAAACACACAAGACACTCGGCTCGTCTGCAGCTTTTATTTTTCAACACAAGAACATACCACAATATTTCACAATCCATCAGTTCAAACTTATAATAAGACACTAGTAAAAAGACGGATAAAAACAGTGTTAAGACAGTAAGCAACAAAGTACATACAATACATACAAAGCACTAACATAAGTGCTAGTGCGATGCAGATTATCCTACTGTTTTAATATAAAATTACTCTATATCAATGTATATGTATATGTATTGTTTTCTATGTGTGTGGGTCTGTGTTTTTTAATTTGCTCTTGTGAAATACTTTGAATTGCCTTGTATAAGACTCGTGCTATACAAATAAATGATTGATAGATTAATAGATATTTAGGCCAGTGAAGGCAACTGAGTGACAAAACCAACACTTCCTGACCAACTTTGCCCCATTCAATCAATGTGAAAATAAAGCTTAAACACATTTTAATGTTTCTATATGTTTTAGTTTTTTTTTGAGCAAAAACTTGTACCATCCTAAGCTAATGCAAGCTAACATGTTACGCTTGTAGATATTCCTGTATGCAACATGTAGCCACGTCTGCAGACCGTCAATCCACAGATCAATAGCGACTTGTACGAATCGGGCACTTTTTGTCAATCTAAAACAATCATCTGCATAATCTGAGTTTAAATCCCCAAGAGTACGTCTATTAAAGAGTCTGTTTGAAATTGCAGCCCTTAAAGAAGAATTGTTACACCTTATTTTTGGCAACATTTCATCAGTATAGAAAATATATATCAAACCAACCAGTTTAAATCCTATTGACCTGCCTGTTACCTTTACTACCACTGGTGGGAGGAGCAGAATTAGTTTTATTTGTTTGTTTTTCTAACCAAATTTCTAACCAATTAAAAATCCTCCTTTCACTTGAGAAATGGCCAAAACAAATGTATGTGCAATGCTTTAGTTTAAAAAGGAAGAGAGTGATGTCATAGTGGTGCAATGACGTCATGCTATAACAGGACTGAGGCGGAGCGTTTAGACAGAAGGGGCGGACTTTCATGTTTGTGCCAGAAGCTCAAATATGTGGATGGATCTAAATTCAACTTCATGATTTAAAATGGATGGATGGATGAATAAATACTGTATTCAAAACATGTGTGTAACCAAAAAACAATACAGTGTTTTATATATATTATTTATTCCAAGTGAATTGATTTATAACTTTTCAAGCCAAACATAAGAACATATATGATAAGATTCATCCCACCACCACAATGTAAACACTTATTTGTTAGACACATCTTACGAGGATTTGTTAGACGGATATCAAAATAACCAACTACAGAGAATCATGGAGGTCTTAAGGAGGCGTTTTCGAGGCTGATCGGGTGATGTCACATGTCTCAGTGAAACAGAGGGAAGACGATCGCTATTGACAACAGGGTCAAGAGGAAAGAGGGCACAAATCCTGGAGCTGATCCGAAAATGCTGCCAAAGGAAACCACAACACAAAGTTAATGATGAGTAAAAGCTGATTCTGAACAAAATGATGAAATGTACCTGTCGTTGGTCGTCTGTTCAGGAGTCGTCGTAGTGAAAGGTGCAAGAGACGACTTCCAGCTGCAGACAAACACGATAGCACTTCATGAGGGTCTGTTCGAAACCAATGCGTTGTTATTGTTTTTCTGCACAGCTCTTACCTGTCGTCAGTTGTGTATTCAGTTGTGTCGTCAGTTGTGAATTCAGTTGTGTCGTCAGTTGTGTATTCTGTTGTGTCGTCAGTTGTGAATTCAGTTGTGGGGTCAGTGGTGAATTCAGTTGTGAATTCAGTTGTGTCGTCAGTTGTGAATTCAGTTGTGAATTCAGTTGTGTCGTCAGTTGTGAATTCAGTTGTGAATTCAGTTGTGTCGTCAGTTGTGAATTCAGTTGTGAATTCAGTTGTGTCGTCAGTTGTGAATTCAGTTGTGTCGTCAGTTGTGAATTCAGTTGAGTGTTCAGGAGTTGTAAAGAAAAGTCCTGGAGAAGACGTCCAGCTGCACAGACAAACAAACACGTTAGCACTTTATGAGGGAGAGATGACAAAGTTGGCATCACGCTACACAAACATGCAAAGAAACAAGAAAAAACGTCAATGTTTCTAAGGCTCTAAGGTCAATGCTCTACCAACTGAGCCACAGGTTGCCAGAGATTCTCAAATTATTCAAGGTAAACAAGGAATAAAATGAGTATTTATATCAGGGTTGCCGTTGTGAAAAAGTTGTTGTTTATAGATTTCTGGCAACCTGAGACGGGGAGATTGGGAGAGGTTGCAGTACCACTTTTGGCCAGATATTTTACATACTGCTCCTTTCACTAATCGCCAGTGTTTTGACACACACAGGTCTACCTTTCATCAGTTGTCTGGTCAGGACTTGTTGAATTGATGGATTAAGCGGTTGGAGGTGAAGAAGTCCATATCACGCGGCCCAAATAGTCAAACACGTAATAAACATACATTATATATAAAATATCACAACTATCATCTATGTCTGATTTTTTGTTAATGGTTAGAAATGCTACAGAAGAAATAAAAAACAAACTTGTTGAGCTAAATAGGTTGTCAACAATCGTGACTCCAGAAGGAATGTAGACACCTGATTCTAGCATACATCAGAAGCTAATCATGGCAGGACCTGGTCAGAACTGTGATGGGAGACTCCGGGAACACCAGAGGTCACTCGGTTGAAGGTGCCCATCTGTTGTTGTGTTGGTAGGCAAGACATTTCATACACATTGCTTAGTATGAGTTTGGTGTGTGCGTGAGTGATTGGTAGTGGCAGCTGTGGCTAAATTATTACTTTAATTGTGTATGGAGTGAATGACTAATGCTGTGAAGCGTGGCTGTATAAAACAGATGCAGTATTGCTTCTACACACACCTGCCATCAGTTGTTGTCTCAAGAGTTGCTGTGTTCGGTGATGAATAAGTCGTGAAAATGCTGCACAAACAACCACTAAAATGACACAACTTTTATAGATTTCTGATACTTTGTCGATGGTGGGGGTGTTTAAAAAGCTACAGAAGAATCCTCAAACTCATTGAGGAGTAAAAACAGGTTCTCAGCTAATCCCCAGTCTTTCTACACACACTGCTCTACCTTTTGTCAGTCGTCTGTTCAGGAGTTGTTGTAGAGACAGACATCGGAACTGGAGATGGATGAGTCACCCTGCACAAACATGCAAACAAACATAATACATGTTTTATTTTAACCATAAATCATCATGGGGTGTGCAGAATTAAAGTCCTAAACTAGAAAATGGGTTGCATTTTCATTATGTTGGAAAGTGTATTATATGTTAATGTATTTCAATATCCAAATGAGCTCAACAGATTCATGATACCTTATTGGCTATTTTCCCCAACCTTGATTTATATTGTTTTAGTCTGGACAATAGTACTATTCCAATTAATTTTGTAAATATATACAAATATAATTATGATCAAAGCTGCGTTTATGGTGTTGTTACAAAGAGTGCTGTTGTCTTGTCTTCACCCGTAAAGTGTTCAGTTCCAGGTACAGTGCATCCAGAAAGTATTCAACCCCTTTCCATTTTTCTATATTTTTCAACGCTACAGCCTCATCCCAAAATGTATGTACTCGCAGTACATAGGATTCTTTGCCATTTGATTAAAAATAAAACATGAAAATATGATAAGTATATAATATGATAATAAGTACAGTATTCAAACTGAGCTGGGATGATGATTGTTGTTGACTGGAACGTCTACTGGTTTAACTTGATTTGAAAAGAGACACATCTTTCCAGTTTAGGTCCTACAGCTGACTGTGATTGTCAGAGCTGAAACCAGACCACAAGGTCTAAGGAACTGTCTGTCGGCCTCCGAGACAGAGCTATATTGAGAAACAGATCTGGGGAAGTAAGTAATGTTTATTTATACAGTGCATTTTACAGGCCAAGGTCACCCAAAGCGCTTTACAATTGTTGAGAGTTCAGATATTTTTTCCATTCTCTCCACACGGTGGAAGCAAGACACCAAACACACTGGGCTATCAAAGCCCCTCATCAACACCATCCATTCACTCACTCATTACATTCAGACCTTTATGCAGGTTTTTAGTGGTAGGGGAAACTGGAACACCCAGAGGAAACCTACACAAGGAGAACATGCAAACTCAACACAGAAAGGCCTGGAGGTAAAATCAAACCTCTTTGTTGTAATGCACAAGCGCTCACCACTGCGCCGCCCACTGGTGGGAAGGAAAACCCCCAGGACTCTTCCCAAAGCTGCCCCCTAACCAAGGAGGAGGAGGGCCTTGGTCAGGGAGGTGAACCCCGATGGTCACTCTATGGTGGTGGTCACTTCTGTAAAGGTTTTCCCATTCGAGTAATGGTGAAGCCTGGTGAGTTTTTGCTCACCTCCCTGACCAAGGCCCACCTCCCCTGATGGCTCAGTTTGCACAGGCAGCCGCTTCCAGGCAAAGTCCTGGTGGTTTTGATCATTTATATTTCTGGATGATGACCGCCTGTATCCTCCTGCACCTTTCGTATCTTGGCCCAGTATAGAAAGGAATGTTTCTGTCTAAATCAAATTAAACCAGACTGAATTAAACTTCTCAACCACACTTTTGCAATTAGATTGACAGGGGAAAAAAGCATTGGAAACATAATTTCCATAATCAGGCTGTAGCATTACAAACCGTATAAAAAGTGAATCTGCATCTTTAGATCAAAGAGAAATTTAGACTAAGGAATCCATGCCATTAGAGGAATATCTGGTTCTCGTCTAGTCTAACACAAATTAGTGTTAACACAACTATTTCACAACATTGTAGCGATTTTTACGTACCTGGTTGAACATGGACCACTTCTTTCTGTTGTTGAAGTTAGAGTGACTTGTGGAAGAGAACATGGCAGAGACTGTCCATCTTTCAGAGGAGTAATGTCTGAGGATAAATGATCCAAAAAAATATATTGTAGTAATTAAAAGTGTTTTTATGTCAAATATACCATACATGGTTGGTGTAGATACTGAACTTACCCTGGAAACTGAAGGTAAACAATGCACTCCCGCCCTTGAGAAAGTCTCTCTGCTTCACTTGGTCTAACTTTGCAAAAAATGTTATGCCAACTAGAGGACCGACATGAACCTCTTGACCATTCTCATCTATAACTGTCTGTCCAAATATTCGAGGATTATCCCAAACATTATCAACTATAATTCAAAAACAGATTGTGTTAGTAATTTTCCAGGACATTTAGACAAACATACTGTGTTTAAACTCACCTTCATCAATAATCTGATCGATATTACTCGTCAAGCTTCTCATCTTGGACATTTGAAGTTGAATGTTGGGATTTTGGTCCTGTCGCCTGCCGATTCAGGACTGGCCATTGCAGTTTACTATCGTTTTTTCTTTCCACCATCTGAAGCATCAACCCAAAAGAACTTCCAAAGAGTGCGGTTGCCACTCTGAAAGCGTGGTCAGTGGCAAGCGTAGCCATCTTCAGTGTACTGAGTTTTGCTATAAATCATGGTGCCGCGACCAGTAGATTCTAAAACCTCCTTAAAATCATCAATTTGAATGAAGACATGTGGACACTGCAGCTCTGATAGGTTGATGTCATCAATCGAGATACCGCCTGTCGAACTTCCTGCTCCTTTGCGAACTTCAAACTCCACCTGAAAGGACTTTGTGGCACTGATTGAAACATGGTGATACTGCCACTTAGACGTTTTAGTTCCTGGAAATAGATAAATCTACATTTAATAAACTCGCACCAAAGTACATCCTAGACATGTTAGTGCCATATGAACCAAGTCAGACTCTGAGGAACACAGGGACTGGCCTCTTGCTGGTTCTCAGAGTCACAACTAAACATGGGGGCTGCCTTCCTGATTAATGCAGCTAAAATCTGGGACAGTCTTCCTAAAAACGTGACACGGGCTTCTTCTCTGACAATGTTCAAATCCAGGTTAAAACAGTCATGTTTAGCTGTGAATACAACTGAAAGTAAAGGTGCACTTTATTTTTCCCCGTAGGGCAATTCATCCTCTGCATTTATTTGACCCATCCTGATGCCATAGGTGCCTATAAGGAGCAGTGGTGGAAACAGCACCCAGGAACCCATCTCCAGATGTTGATGCTCAGGACTACTGGAGTCTTCACTCTTTTTAATATACTGTGATTATGTATGATTGTAATGCCCTAAATTGTTTCTGTCTTGTTTTGTGAATGAACTGAATGAGCTTTGCAAATATAGTAAGTAATTAAGTAATCTATATTTATATACCGCCTTTCACAGACCAGAGTCACAAAGCGGTTTACAATTGTTATTTTTTGGGCACTTGTCCTCTCACTCCTCACAGAGATGGGATCAGGGTCACCGAACAGGAGGCGCATGCCAGATCTATTGTACATATTTTTAGTGGTAGGTGAAACAGGAGTACCCAGAGGAAACCTACGCAGACACGGGGAGAAAATGCAAACTCCACTCAGAAAGGCCCTGGTCCGACCGGGATTCGAACCCAGGACATTCTTGCTGAGAGGCGAGAGTGCTATCCACTCAGCCTCCCTGTATTTTGATTTATTCCTTAGAGTAAATGCACCGGAATTAGTTATGTATATATGTTGTCGTAGTAGTAGAATTGTGACATGAGCTCCTGAATTGAGGAGACTTTTTAAACAGCAAAAAAAAGTTCTCTAAAATGTTTTCCGTAGACTTTTCTTCATATTTTTGTAGATATTTCTCACATTTATTTTAACTGTATTCTATCTCTATTTTATCTATTCTTCTATAGTATTAAAGTTTCAGGGCTCAAACTCAAATCAAATTTCTGATGGTCCTGTTTTGAGATCATTCCTTACGCCATCCTGTGTGAGAGAACCTACCAGTAATCTGTCCAACCATCTTGCTGTGACCAGTCAAGTCGTCCTCATCATCAAACTCCCTGATCCAGATGTTGAGTTGGTCAGACTCATTTCCAGAGTGAAAGTAGTAAAACTGCAGACACTGGGCATGGCATGACCGACGAAGGGTCATCCTCCCTGTCTCCAACCAGGCAGACTCGCCCTCTCGCCCAAAACCTGTGCTTGCATGCATGAAGCTACTTGGAGCCATATCTGCAATGAATTAGAAAGGTGGTATGAGAATTGTCACAGATATTGTCACTATTCTCTTCTTACCTGAAAGGCTGTCACTCAATAGATTGGTGTGGTCAGTGGCAGGGCCTCCTGGAGCTTGTGTGACGCTCTCCCAGGCCATACCGCCGGCAGAACAACTATGCATTTGGCACAAGGATCTATCGGTGAAGCTGCAGTGCATTTGGAAGGCAATAGTCGAGTCTATGTCAAAACAATAAACAATGGTAGTTCAGGTACGTTTGAACTTCTGATGCTTTATCAGAATGATGTGTCATACGGCAGTTTGTTAATACTAGTGCAGTGCCTTTTGGCCTATTCATATAATAAATGTATTTTCCAATGCTTGATGATTATAGAAATGATTATTGTATTTCAGGATCTTTTAATAAAGGCCTAAAAATGTTTCAGTACTCTTTCCTGGGCTGGTTCTTTGCTTGGTCTTTGTCATACTCACTGCATCCGTAGCGAAAGTTGAGCCTCTTCACATCACTCGAACTCATTTCCAATCTCTGACCAATAACGTCCTGAAATTCTGGATTTATGGTTATGATTGTAGAACCATTTCCATTGTTGAATGCATTCTTTCCATAGTGCATAACCGACATATAATCATATTCGACGCCATAAGTGTTGGTCCTTGATTCCTCCTTCTTTTTAAAGTTATGTTCATAACCTACAAGAAACAGCCATAGAGTGAATGAACTAAAGACTAAAGAGCATATTGCCATTCTACCTTCTTTAATATTATCGAAATTAATAATGACATGTTCATCTCGATCATGTCTCGCCTGTTCGTGATAGAAGCCGAGAGCATGAAGTAACTCATGCTCCACAATTGATTTTCCGTCGCAGTTTTGGCCGATGGAAAGAACCTGTCCTTCCTGATTACGCCATCCAATACCTGAGAAACACCTGACACCACATTCAAAGTTTAATCATTTGAGTAGTGTATCACAACAGAGTCAAAAAAGTATGTACCCATCAAGCTTTTTGAACAAGAGGAAGTAATCTTCATCGCTCAAGGTTTTAAAGTCAATGCATGACTTTAGTCTGAATTGCTCCATGGCGACCAGGATGATTCCTTTAGCGTTCAGCTCTGGCATGGTCATGTTGGAAAAATAAAACATTAGCAGTTTCTAAGTCTTCAAAATGTTGTGTTGTTGTGACAGAAAACCATAATTACCGAGGCTGCTGTCAAACATGTACGGCATCGGCAGGGGCCAGAGTTTGTTGATCACTGAGCTTCTCTGAACATCCTTTGGTGAAAAAGAAAACTTTTCAAACCTCACAGATCCCTCATAATAAAACTGGCTTGAAAATAATTTGCACTCACCTCAATGATATCATCTTTCAAGTCTAGGATAGAGGGAAAACAAAGGTAATGTCATTGAATGAATAAGTTTTAGCTTTAAAGTAGAATACACAGTGAAACTTAACCCTTGTTTATTTCGGTAATGTCCAATTCCTCGCCAATTTCTGAAAAGTCATATAGATGATTTGTTGAGCATGTAAAAATAGCAACCACAGAAATAAGAAGATTGTAAATTACTTACCTAGTATTTGTATCGTGTTCCCTTCTGTTATCTGTTATAATGATGAAACTATGAATTATATAAATCATACATAACATTCTTGTGTCTGGATGAAAATACTAACCGGTATAAGAGCCACAGACGATACAAGTGTCAGATTGATGAGAAGTAGCAGGAGGCAGCAGTAGAAATCCATCTGCCAAAAACATAAAATGAATGCATGTAAAAACACTGTGGGTGTTTTTAAAGTCTACAGTGTATATTTGTATACTTTACCTTAAATATGATATGGGATCCTTGGAAGAAGACATGATGCTTCAATGTCTCTTTAAATACAGGTACATTACAGTGTCAAAGACTTTTTCCTCAAACGTCATCACTGTCTTTGTGTGTGAGGAATGTCCCTTCATTATTACAGTAGTGAGCTGATGACATATCCACATTGTGAAGCATATATGTGAAAGATCATCGTTAATGCACTCTAAAAACACAAGGGATGGACAAACTGCAGATATTGATTGTTGGAATAATGAATCGATCAGAAAGTAACCAATCGTCTGAATAGACTGTTGTCTATTCAGATATCATGGTCCCAACTGGATTCGTCTGCATACTGTATCCGGCAACCTGAGTCAGGAAGAGTGCAATTCCACTTTTGGCCAGATTTTTACATACTGCTCCTTAGGATTCATGCTTTTTGGGTCTTTATGGTAACATTATTTTCTCACAGAAATATATCTCGAGTTGCTTCATTTGTGGTGATTTGTTTTATTCTACAAAGCTTCTTCCTACGAGCACTCCGAGATTATACATGAGTTTACCTCTCTTGGCGACTCTATGACTGGGGGAGCTGTTTCCTGCACAGCGGAGATGAAGTTTGAGAAGGTCCCGGCTGATGTCTGTTGAAGACTGTTTGGCAGGGAGCCTGTTGTCCATTCTGGCAAAGTGACAAAGTGATACACCTTTCTGTGTGTATTACAGGGGAAATGGAGGTAGAACAGCCTGATTTAGCATACATTTAATTTACATTTACATTTACATCCCACACTGGTCACATGGTGGAATCACATGAAAACAAATTAAGTGAGAGACGTGTGGAAAGTAATGAGGATTCATGGCACAAGGCAGGACTTGTAAAAGTAAGGTTGAATGCATCTTGATTTTTGTAAATTCAGTCAAAGACATAAAAGTATCCATTTCATGTGTCACAAGTAACCCCTTGAAATAGCATTAACTTTCTTTTCTTCATATCTCATAACTCATTGCTGCCCACTTTAACTGTGCTGCTAAATGGAGGGATAAGATATTGTCAATGTGCACGTAAATGCACTTGTGCGTGTGTTGTTCAAATCGAGGTGAGATGTTTCTGCATTCTGACAGCAAAGACTGGTATGAAGACCAAGACACAGACATTTACATTGTAACAATGAAACATTGTTTTTATTCTCTTGCAACAGTATCACTTTTATATTTTTGAAATCAATATCAAGAGCATTTTAGAGCAAAGCAGTTGTACATACAAAAAACAGACGACTATACACAAAACTGCAAGGGCTGCACAAAGTCACATATTATATCAAGTTTATAACTCGTTTGTAAGGTTTTTGTTCTCAGAGATTGACCATCTGTCTCTGTATTGAGTGAGGTAGTTTTAAAGACGTTTGCTTCATCCAGCCGCTTTTTATAACTGTCTGATGTTCTGTTTTGTTGTCTGCAGGATTGTTTTGTAATAAACATTTAGTTTGTTTGATTGATGTTGTAAGAATATGTTAAAACCTCAATGTGTAAAGTGCCATTCCTCAGACCCTCACGAGAACCTTTGATGAATGATTGGGGTGAGGGCTGAGGGGGGGGTGGCAGAAAGGGGGTAAAGACCAAGACATTTGTGAATGTATAAGATTTACAGCTCTCAGGACAAATGTTGCTCTCCTCCTCAGAGCTCTGTGTTTGGGACGGCACCAGCGACGCCTTAAGGAGAACTTCAAAAGCGGGAAACAGGACATGGGATGAGTCTTGACAAATCTCGCCAGAATCACGGTCTGTTGGTCGCACACAGATGAGAAGGATCGAACAGAAAGAAGAGACATACTGTACTTCCTCAGGATGCCAGAGAATGACTTCACCTTGGAGAAACCCACAAGGGGGAATGCAGTTAGAAGTTTTATTTGATGCCCGGGAGCGATGCCCGGGAGCGATGCTGTTGAGTGCGGCGCTTGCTCGCGCGCATAATCCCCCCCAGGGCCTAGGCACTGGTGGCGGCACAGGCAGTAGGCAAGCACGCTCCAATGAGAGAAGGAGGAGGTGGGGCGGCGGAGGCTTGCAGACTTGAGAAGGCCGGGAAGTGGGCGTCTCCGGCTTTTAACTTGCTGTCCTGGCGGTTATTGGTTGACTGGATGTGGGTGTTGCTGGTACGATGAGCCGAGGATGAGAGCAGGCCTGTAGAGCTGGGCAGCAGCAGCCGGGTCTACCACGGTGAACTTGCGCGAAAGCTCCATTTCACCTTGGAGAGACCCACAAGGGGGAATGTAGTTAGAAGTTTTATTTGATTAAGCATGTTTGGCGCCCTAGGCCCGGGAGCGATGCTGTTGAGCGTGGCGCTTGCTCGCGCGCAGGCCCCCAAAGATGGGGGCCTGCGATGGGATAGCAGGACGCACTGCGCAGGCCTGAGAGCATGAGTGCGAGGCTTCTCGCACTGTCGCTCAGCCAGGCTGCGTCTGCTGGGGGCCCGCATCTGTTTGGGCAGAGATGCGGGGCCTGAGCGCGCTGAGAACATGAGCGCGGGGCAGCAGGGTTGCGTCATGTTCTCCAGACGCTGCAAGCTAGGAGCAGGTGTTATCCCTAGCGAGCTGGGAACATGAGCGCGGGGCTGCTCAGCACCCACTCCGGGGAGTAGAGTGGGAGTCCAGCTCCGTGCATCATGTTCAGCCAGACGCTGCAAGCTGGGGCATCTTTGAGCGCGCCGAGAACATGAGCGCGGGGCAGCAGGGTTGCGTCATGTTCTCCAGGCGCTGCAAGCAGGTGTTATCCCTAGCGAGCTGAGAACATGAGCGCGGGGCTGCTCAACACCCACTCCGGGAATTGAGTGCGTGTCCAGCTCTGTGCATCATGTTCAGCCAGACGCTGCAAGCTGGGGCATCTTTGAGCGAGCTGAGAACATGAGCGCACGCATCATGTTCAGCCAGACGCTGCAGCAGCGGGAGAGCGTTTGAGGAGAGTGCGTGCCGCCACCAGGATCTTATTGCTTTGCTTGCTTTTGCTTTGCTTTGCATTGCTTTGCTGGGAGCTTACGAGGAAGCCAGTAGTCGTTGTGCTGCCATGATGATGGTTGCATCTGGCCTGATGTAGGCGGAGAGAGCCGACGAGGACCAGCGCCCCCGCTGTTGCAGAGAAGAATGGGGGAGCCCCAGCGAGGCCGCGCGCGTGGCAGCGCCTATCCTGAAGGAGTGGGCTGTGTAGAGCTGGGGAGACAAATTACAGAGGAGCAGTAGGGATCTTAGCTGAGCTCTGAACCAGGTTGCTGTCATGGGAAGGTTGTCTGGAGTGAGAAATAGAGGTCCGTTAAAATCTCCTTTTTGCAGCGGAGGCGAGTGTAACGCATCATGGATTTGTAGGGGCAGAGAGATGTGTCGGAGCGAGCTATTATTATATTGCAGGCGCCTTTGATCTTTGAATGTTTGAGATGAAGGTTGAAATGGTCAGGGGACATTATGTTGGGTGAAGAAGAGCGACCTTTGTTTAATGCTTCCACTACCTCAAGATTATCACACATGACAAAGCCGTGTCTCGGACCGCATTGAAGGTTGAGTGAGCAGTAGTGAACTCGCTTATGCAGAGAAGCCATAGAAGGCGAGCTGGAAGATGCTGCGAGGAGGGCAGACATGTACTTGGAAGATGAGCCGGAGTTCAGTGCCGCTCAGAGCCGCTGCAGGATGGGCAGCATGATGGGGAGCCTGCGATCAGAAGAGTGAAGAATACAGGTATGGATGCCTTTGATTAGGAGTTTGATTGACAGCTCAGCGCAGCTACTCGGCCAGCTGCATCTGATAGAATCAGAAGATTAAGTATAGAGATGAAGCATGACCGCCGAAGCGACCCTGAGAGCATAGGTGCGAGTCCAGCGCAGCGCGGCATACTCAGCCGGGCTGCATCCATTAGAAGCAGAATAAGGAGCAGAACAGCTGATGCGAACTGAGAGCATGGTGCGAGGAAGCTCAGCACAGCTCTGCATCTATTTAGTATGGATTTGAGTTGGGCTCCGGACCAGTTAGCCGTCAGGGGGAGGAGAATGGAGCAGCAATGAGGGAAGGAAGCCTGGTTACTGCTTGCAGTTTGTGTGCTGAGGTTTGAACTGGATCCTGCCCAGGGCGCGAGCCACCCTGGCGGCGAGAGCAGCGCCGGGATCCCGAGAAGCAGTGTGCGGAGAACGCCGGGAAGCAGCCGCCAACGGCCGTACGGCAGGTGCCCACGAAGCGTACGCGAGGCACCGGCAGAGGCACCGGCAGAGGCACCGGCAGAGGCACCGGCAGAGGCACCGGCAGAGGCACCGGCAGAGGCACCGGCAGAGGCACCGGCAGAGGCACCGGCAGAGGCACCGGCAGAGGCACCAGCAGAGGCACCGGCAGAGGCACCAGCAGAGGCACCAGCGCCGGCAGAGCCTGCAGACCAGTGCGCGGGGCCCAGACGGAGCCTGCAGACCAGTGCGCGGGGCCCAGATGGAGCCTACAGACCAGTGCGCGGGGGCCCAGACGGAGCCTGCAGACCAGTGCGCGGGGGCCCAGACGGAGCCTGCAGACCAATGCACGGGGCAAAACAGAGGGCCTGCAGACCTACAGGGCTGGAAGCGGAAGTGTGAGAAGTTGCGGGAGTCCCACCCGTGGATACAAACGAAACACGCGTGCCGGTTGCATCCTGCCGAGATCGCCGGCGTCGTCCTCCATGGATTTCTCTCAGTGCTGCTTCGGACACATTTCGCCTCTGGAACAAAACTGAGTGTGCGTTCGGAATCAGCTGTGGAACTCCGGCAAAGCCCCGAAGTTTCCGTAAGGCGGGGAGACGAGAAAGGAGCAGGGCCGTGGTCAACATGTCGCCCTTCCAATCCATCATTAAAATACAGATATTTTAATGAAATATAATCCATATACAAAAGAAAATACAGAACCAACATTCTCACTGGTGCACACTGGAGTAGTCTTTTCCGATGTGGTTTTACTGCAAATGGCGAATAAATTAATCTGAATCTGAAACATTCCCATGCGAATAACAGATTCATCTTGCTGCTTTGGTTATGGCAGATATGCATGAACGATCACTTTTCCACACGTTCATTAGCTCCAACTCCACTTCACACTCATTGCAGATTCACATTGGGCCCTTTTACTTCTGCTGCACTTTCAAAATGCAACATGCTGCAGTTTAGTTACCTGATCATTTAATACTAGTGACCTATGCTATTTAATATGCATTGCCCCTCCTTTATCCCTCAGATAAACTAATTTAAATACATTCATCTAACAATAGTGACTTGTGAGTAATAAGATTAATGCTGTAAGATGGCGCCGTGGCAAGAGCTCTGGTGTGTGCCGTCTGGTGCACGCTGGGGTAGTCTTGTAATTTTTCCAACGTGGTTTTACTGCAAGTGGCAAATACATGAATCTGAATTAATGCACGTTGCTCCTCTTATATCCCTCAGATAATAAAGATTAATGCCATTTAATATGCATTGTCCCTCCTTTATCACTCAAATACAAATAAATGCATTGATCTCTGAGTGGGATCAATATATATATATCCTATCTTCCCCCAAAACACGAACCACAATGAAAGGCTCGGGTGCGCACCAGTCACAGGGTAGCAGAAGCTGCAAGTTAGCTCGAACACATGTAAAACCGGAGCCTGCAGACCAAAGCACGGGGCAAAAACTGACACCTGCGGTCCAGTGCGCAGGGCAAAAACCAACCGCCTGCAGCCCAGACTCAGAGAACAAACCGTCCGCAGGTCAGCACACTCACCACCACGCATGCCAGAAGACGTGGGAAAAGCAACGGGACAACGCGGCACCGCCAATCGGAGGCAGGGACACGCACGGCACCGGGCCAGACCGTCTGCACGCAGCAGCAGACCACGAGGAGACGAGCAGCATCGAGCCCGCGGAGGGGCCCCGCGGAGCAGCCCACAGAAAGAGCCCGCAGAGGAGGAGAGCGGCGGAGACACGCGGACCACAGCGCGCGACCCCCAGCAGGTGCAGGGACGCGGAGGAGGAGCAGACCACAAGCAGCCAGACTGAGAACAGCCGGGCCACGCGCACGAGCAGCACGTGAGCAGAAAGCGACCCCTCCAGAACAACGCATGCATCGCGAACAGGTGCGTTAGCGACATACACCTTGCAGACTTGAGAAGGCCGGGAAGTGGGCGTCTCCGGCTTTTAACTTGCTGTCCTGGCGGTTATTGGTTGACTGGATGTGGGCGTTGCTTGTGCAATGAGCCGAGGATGAGAGCAGGCCTGTAGAGCTGGGCAGCAGCAGCCGGGTCTACCACGGTGAACTTGCGCGAAAGCTCCATTTCTCACCGAGCTGAGAGAAGTTATTTACAAGACGGACAAGAGGAGAGCAGGGAACCAGACATGATGGAGGACTCATTTCCACTGTGTTTATTTAGTCAAACAATATTAGTTCTTGATAGATGTATGTACTGCTCTCAGCGAACTAAACCCAGTACTGCAAAAGACTTGGTGGTGCTTTACCTTCTACTACAACAATTTTCGATAACATAAAGCATGTGATACAATAGCAAGGTTTGAAACATATTCACAACCTAAATGGTCATTTTTACCAGAAAATAAGGAGAAATATAGAGATGTAGGTCTATAGATGTTGAAATCTGGTGGTGACCACAAAAAGAGTTGAATCTTTAATTGGAGCTGGTTCAAACAAGTTTTAAGCCCTAGAGCTGAATACTTTTGCAGGACACACTTTTATTTCTTATTAAAAAAAGGGTTAGCTTTAACTTCACAATTGTTTGTCACTTTGTACAAAAAGTGGAGAAACTCATGGGGTTTAAATATTTAGCATTTTATAATGCACTGTATCCGTGCATCCTCATTCCCTCTGGGGGGTGCTAAAGATCTCTGCATGATCAACCTGTCAGATTGAAAAACAGATCCATTGACTTTGTGCTGCCACATGTTTGAAATGAACACAGTTAACCTGAAATGTTATAATCCTTTTTGAACTAGTGTGGCATTGATAAAGAAATGAATTATTCTCCATCAGGACACTCCGCTGACTTCAGTTTCAAATGTATATATATACACCAAGCCTTCAGCATTATGGGGCAAACATTTGATCATGCAATTCAAAAATGAAAAGACATAAGTCCACAGACTCGCTGACCAACACTCCACCAGGATTGAGGGATGTAGGGGTAGAGTGGGGGTGCAGGGGTAGGGTTAAAGTGACTTGCGGTCCTGGGACATGTCTCCTGCTGTCGCCCCCAGGCACTGATCTGCTCCCCAGACTTCTGCTGCCCTGCACTATACCCCAATCTACATCAAAACAACTAAAAGGCATGTTCTAGCTGCCCCCTCCACACTAACGCACATTTGAGCCGATTTGGTTTTAGATAGGGCTTTTTAAGGATCAAGTCTCGACATATAGCCTCTGGTGGTTTTGACTGATAACGGTGCTAACGTGATGCAGCAACAGGCCACAACTTGAAAATGTTTAATCTGCTTTAAGCAAGAGACGCAGGGAAATACATCCAGGAAAAGCCAACAGTCCATGAAGAAACCCGAGACAAAAGGAGCGCAACCATAGACTGCATATAGAGGGGCAATTCTAACCAACTAGCACAATGAAGCCCATTAGGACATAACGCGTTTATTTTGGGTTCAATGTGCATCAAACATTAGTTATCAGACGTCCAAAATGAGAAGGAGGAAGGAAGGAAAAACGGTATATATTTCAACCCCTGTGAACATCAGCCTTACACCCATGTGTCTGGAGCCAGTAGCTATTGACTTTGAAAATTGAACTACTTTATGATTCTGGTGTATATATTTTGATAATGTCGAACTGTCTAGCTTATGTTCAAATCTGCCTCTTCCAGATCAAGGCTAACACAACCGGGAGCACAAAACAAATCAAGTGAAAGTTGTTTTTTGTATTTGTATGCAGGCAAGCAATTTCAATAAACCACAAGCATAGGAATTTTGTTTCAAGAAGATACAAGTCTGGTCATTTGCTTCCTTGATTAGCTTTAGTGATGCTATAAAGATGAGTATCCCATTGCGTGTGTTGTAGTGTTGGCACTGGACTCTGAACTGCCACGCTGGAGGTACTTGGCTTGTCCATAGAGCAAAGGTCAGGCCGGGTATTTGCTGTAGAAAACACTGTATTTGTTCAAAAGAAATACGGATACAAACAAGATCAAAATGTAACAACATTTTTTTTTTTTGCAAAACAACATCATAAAGCGTTTTCAATAAACCATTTGGCTCACTTTATATTTGACCAAAGCCATGTGAAAGACAAGTGCAGGCAAGAAAGGCCTACAACAAAAGTCTGCGTCAGTACAAACTCAGGGCAAAACGGTGGCGTGATCTGGAACATGTACTGACATGGGCAATCCTGAGGAGATGTGGATTATGATTCTCCCGGATCAGGAACATTTAGCCCTAAAACTGAACAAGGCCCACTGTTCTGTGTGCTTATGTGCAGTATTGCTTGTATTAAAATGCATATGTATGTGTTATCATTTATAGCAATGACAAGAAATAGCCTGATGATGACAATTTCTGGTAAACATTGTAAAGCTTTGGGTCTGAAAAATATGCAATGTAAATACACATTACATAACTTGAGTGATACATAGTCTTACTCTAGAGCGGAGATACCAAAACTAAAACCTTTTCATTACCAGCCTGTTATCTAACCAAGCAGACAATTCATTGGCATAGAAAGATAACAAAAAAGTGTTATTCATGGTCCCACATTACAAATGATGCAATTGCTTTTTAGATTCATACATATTTTTTATTTTTTATTTTTCATATTTTGATAAGTTAGGGCAATTACAAAACTCTCAACATCCATTCTCACACAGTAAAAACTATATACACACAGACATGCACATGTTTGCTAAGACCATGCTTGCACTCCGTAGAAATAAATATCCAAGTAGCCTTTCAATTTTCTTGACAGTAAAACTCACACACCTAAATCACCTTTCAAACAGAGGTAGACCAAGCAGGGTAGGACACGATGGTAACTATGGGGACAACTGAATGTTCATGTTTAGTTAGAATCTACATATGATTGGTAAAGGGACGTGAGGCGAGCTTGGAGGTCTTGGGCATACGGGTCGAGCTTCTCCTTCAGGTCTTCCGCATAGGGGGCGACCATCTGCTTGACCAGGCTGGCCCGGTGGCTGAGCTCGCCTTGCACCTTCTCCGTCATGGGTGTCACGCTGTCCTGGAAATCTTGGAGATGCTGGTCCACCTTCATCTTGAGGTCATCGGTGTAGGGTCCCAGCTGAGCCTGCAGGTCCTTCACGCTCTGCTCCAGGCTGGTCTTGAGCTCTTCGCTCTTCTGCACCAGGGCGGCTTTCAAACCTTCCGAGTCCAGAGAGTCGGCGTAGGTGGCCAGTTCCTGCTTGAGCTGATCCACCTTCTGCTGGATCTGGGTTTTCATCTGCTCGGTGTAGGGTTCCAGCTGGCCTCTTGCAGAGCTGAGTTCTTGGGTAAGGACATTGCGCAGGGTGTCGGCTTTTCCGCTGATCTGGATCATGAGGTCCTGGGCGGCAGGGGGCAGCTGTTCTTGTATGGTCACTGCATACTTGCTGGCCATGTCTGCGCTCTCCATCAAGCGGGTGCTGCAAAATATCATTAGATAAGGTTAGGGTTAAGGTTGTTGACATCATTCATTTAGACTTAGACTCTTGTGTTTAAGTGGTCTTCAAACTGGCCTCAGCAAGAGAACACCAGTCTCTACCCATTTCATCAAGGGAGTCCAGTCTCAACCTGCAGCCACTTTGGGCCTTTGAGGACTGGTTTGAAGACATTTGAGACTATTTATTTATTTTGTTTGTATAAATGGATGTGTTTTTGCAACTGGACACCTGAATGTCTCCCGTGCAGGGATCAACACAGTATCTATCTATCTACATACTGTATCTGTCTATCTGGGTTATGTCCGAGGCCTTTTTTCCAGACCTTACAACAAGATCAAGAGCAACATTCAACCCTTGGTATTGATACTGTTTCATAAGTGCTTCCCAAAGTGGGGTCTGGTGTTCTTTAGAGCGCCTCAACAATATACAAATGAGAAAAACATGGATGGAAAGAGCTGCGATTGGTCCTTTAAAGGCATATCCACAATTACTTTTCTAGTTTGACTACTTTCCCATCACTATGTTCGTAATACCAAAGACATCATTCAGGTCTTCATTTGTGTCTCAAAAAAATCTGTGTTTCAACATCAAAACAGACAGTCTTGCATAGTGACCCCTACTGATGAGGTAAGAAATGTAATTGCATATCCAACACCACATGGACAAGAAAGAATGCTCCAAGAATTTCTATGGTTATGCAGTTATAACATATTACATACTATGCAGCAAATCCTACATGTTGCTTGGCCATTGTGTGTTTTCATTGTTTGATTTCCCAATTTACATCCCCAATGAAGTAATGGTCAATGATTCGGCGTAGATAAAAAAACATTTGCATGATGATTTGGGTGTTGTTGCTAATGAGCTGTGCCTGTATTCGCCTAAAACTCTTCCACTAAGACCCTGATTGAACTAGAAACTCCTCTTGTCCGACTTATTTATTGATTTGTTTATTTGAAAGGAAAAGTGGCCAATTAATCAACTAGTGTCCATGTAAATATGCCAGATTTAGCCATGAAAGCTAGTTTCTATCTGTAGTCCCATGGCAGGTTGATGTTACAGCCATCAACAAACAAACAGAGCAACAGTAAAAGCCTTAAACAGACAACAAAGCAGAGCACTGTGACAGCACCTTTAAGTGAAGGTTCTCAGTGATGGAGTGTTTCTAATGTGAGCTGGGACAGTGTTCCAAGAGTGTGTGGCCCTCACAGACTTACTTAATTTCCTCCCCGAGCTGAGACTTCCTTATCAACTGGAGTGTATCATCAGCCGTCTGAGTTGCCTGGGCGATGTAGTCCCAGAAGGCATCAGTCAGCACCTCCATTTGGGGCTTGGGGGCATCGGCGTAGAAGATGTTGGCATTGCAGCCTGAAAAGTCAACACAGGGTTAAGTTTTTTTCAATCCCCAAAGTTGACCAAATATTAAGCATCAAAACAGCCTTGCTTCTTACCAGACAGAGCAGCGATGGCTAGGATCAAAACTGCCTTCATTGTTGCGTGGATCTGAAAAGATTAGAATTCTTTAGCATCAACTTTTAATGGCTTTCTCTATTGTTTTCAAATTTGTGTTTGATTCTTACCTGCTTCAGTCTTTGCTGCTCCTCAGTTGAAGTGAAGATTGTGTGTAATGAGTTGGGCAGGAGCCTATGTGTTTATATAGTAAAACCACATGAGAGTTGTAGGCTCAAGCCCAAAGTCCACTAGTCCCTTCCATGTTGTCACTGCTGCTCCTTCCCTCTCCTTGGCTCACGTCACATGACCAATGATTTAGCATTATTCCAGGCAGAAGTCATATTAGCGTTTTCTAAAGTCACCACAATTCAAAAAGTAGGTTGGATACAGTGAATTAATAGTATGTGGAGTCAAAGGTCCTGACACAAGCCCATAGCCTTAAGCATACAGCAATCAGACCTCATGTATTCCCTGAGTATCTGGAGACTGAGTGTCTCCAGATAGGCAAAGATAACCTTTGGGGTTAGGCTAGCAGACTATGTTTAAGGTCAAGCAACGTGTGTGGACAGGTCATTGAGAAGAAGATAATTTAGCGTCATTATAATGAGAGAAAATCATTATAGACAATCACTGTAAACTTAAGGCTTTATTCTATCAATGCAAATGCAGTAGGAATCATTAAGTCTTTTTGACATTTTCCTATTGAATTATATGAAGGTAAATTATTAATACTAAAACTCCCAGGCAGTCAAATTGGTGGAGTTTAGTTTTGGAAGCTTAATGACTTTACATTTAACTCTATAGCTACATTTTTGGTAGGTGTAACTTAACACATTATCGATATGTAGTTTATTACATTACTTATATAGCCTGGTCTTACCATACCATCATACTCATTTCATAGTTGACCGGAGTTTACGGATGGCTAAGGCCAGGCTAATACTTTTATGAAATTATCTTTTCATTTTAAACGCAGCCATTTTCGGTTGTTTCATTCTACGGCAGGTCTAAGGTGCTGCTTGTAATCTGGTCCTGGACTGGTTCTGAGCTGAGCTTGGTACCATAGCAACACAGTTTACCTGCAGCAGTTAGCATTTAACCTATGACCCAACTGTCTGTGCTGCACTCAAAGTTTATTCACCAGTTTTAGCAAAAGTTAAAATATTTTTTTTAAAAAACTTATGAATTGCATACTTTCAATAAAACTGGTGGAAAACAAAATCACTTTTCTAGTTTCAGAATTATGTGAGTCCTAGTGTTAACTCTTAAGGCACCATGTTTTTTGTTTCTATTTTCTGGTTTCTTCATAAATTTGATGTGAAACAGACAGAAGGTGGAGCCCTGAAACTATAAGAGACATAAGGGAACTAAATAATGTGTATGTAGGGAAATGTTTGTGGGACGCCATATTGTTAACCAATTCTGCTAATTTGGCACCTAAAAGGTTAACAAATGTCGGGGATAGTAAGAAGGAAAGCAGTCATTTCAGGTCAAAAGGATATACTACATGTGTCGTGTGGCTGTAACTTTGTCCTTTACAATGTCCAAGTCCAATAACCTTTGACCAGACACAAAACTATTGCAGCTTGGCATGAAATGACTGATGTGTTTCGATGACTAACCTGATATAGCCACAATAAAACACAAACCAGCCAACAACATCTAATCAATTTAGACATCAAAGCCAATCTTCCCTATTAATGAGGACATGAAAAACAAATGTCATCGAACACATTTGGGCAGTAAAATATGTACAATAATTTCAAATACATTTGTTTAATAATTGTTATAATATATTTTTTAATTTAAATGTGGTAAAGTGTGATTTAGTGTAAGGCCAATAATCTCTTTTAGATTCCCCAGTTAACATTTGTACTGTCAATATCATAATGTATTATCTCAATACTAATTAACAGTAATAGTGGTAGTAAGTAGTAGTTGACTCTTTTCAAATACCTCAGGTTTCACAAGCCTCCACTCATTTCAATGTATTCCTATTTATACAGAAGGAAACAGTTAATTAATGCCAATACAGAGAACATTACAAGTTTAAAAACACTATATGATCTATAAACTGAAAAAGAAAAAATGAAAGAAACCACATGGATGCAAGTTTCATGTGAATACTGCTGGCCGTGATGATGTTCTGACGCAAGATGTCACTGTGGGTGAGGCGAAGTGATTGCAGAGCACTATCTCCTGGACTTTGGGATCATAACTGTCTGCTTCACTATATAAGGCCCAGAACATCACCTCTTCTGCACCAGCACTGTCAAGCGGTATTGCAAGAACACTTGCAAACTCAGGTAAGAGAGAGTGAATGGAAATATTGCATTGGTGCATTTGAATTTGTGCATGTATTCTAACTTTCTGTTTTATGTTCAGATCTAACCATGAAGGTCCTTGCCGTGCTCGTCCTAGCCGTCTTCACTGGTGAGAGATTTCATCCTCATTCTTAAATAACTCTTTATAATTCTTGAAAAAATATATATAGCTGATGCACAGGTTCACAGAGACCTTTAAGATCTGGCATTGTCTAAATCAAGGGTCATCAATTCCATAACTCCCATTTTCAATATCATTAGCAAAATGTATAGGACTCTCATGATTTATTAAAACTATTTCTTAGGCAAAAAGATTTCTCATAATACATTGTAATTTTTTTTTACCTCCTCTCCCTTGACTAGGCTGCAATGCCAACCTCATGTTCGCTGATGCACCCAAGCCTCAGCTGGATGTGCTGACTGATGCATTCTGGGAGTACGTCGGCAAGGCCACCACGACCGCCGATGACACCCTCCAGATGGTCAGGTCATCTCAGTTTGGACAGGATGTCAGGTGGGTTTGATGGAGCAAATATACACAGAATTAGGTTCTAAAGATAAAATGTAAATTATATTTTAGACCAATTCTTTTGAGCTCAGATACTTGATGAAGACTGATGGGAATATTTTTGTTTTGTTGTAAATTTGGACACATCAAGTAAATGTTACCGGAATTGGGTGATTTTTTTTTGTGTGTGTGGCATATTGCTGTTATTTTTTGTTCAACTCACCAAGATCTTTTTCTGTTTTTGCCTGCAGTGCTCGTCTCACCGAAAGTGCAGTCTTGGCTGGCAAATACGCCACCTCCATCCAGGAACAGCTGCCCCCTGCCGCCCAGGACATGCTCACCAAGGTCACCACCGAAGCCGATGTGCTGAGAGAGCGCGTGGCCCAGGAATTCAGCTCCGTCCAAGGCCAGCTGGAGCCCTACACCGAGCAGATGAAAGCCCAGATCCAGCAGCGCGTGGACCAGCTCAAGCAGGAACTGGCCCCTTACGCCGACTCCATGGACGCCGAGGGTCTGAGAACCGCCCTGGTCCAGAAGAGCGAGGAGCTGAAGGCCAGCCTGGAGCAGAGCGTGAAGGACCTGCAGACCCAGCTGGGACCCTACACCGATGACCTCAAAGTCAAAGTGGACCAGCACCTGCAGGACTTCAAGGAGAACGTGGCCCCCATGACCGAGAAGGTGCAGACGGAGCTGACCCAGCGCGCAAAGCAGGTTCAGGAGCTGGCCGCACCCTACGTGGATGACCTGAGGGAGAAGCTCGACCCATACGCACAGGACCTGCAGGCACGCCTCACCGCTCTCTACGAGTCCTACGTCAAGTCCAACTAAAGCTCCATCAGAATTCTCACGGACACTAAATCATTGGTGCGCCAAACAAGCCAACACCAAGTAACACCAGCCAAACCTTTGACCTCATGTGCCAAGATGTCTGCTATAAATAAATAATTTATAAACAATGAATGTCTGTGTATGTGTTTTGCAGATAGATAGTTAGATAGATAGATAGATAGATAGATGGATTGGGTTTTATTGGGTGTCTTTGTAGTTGGGCATTTACATACATTAAAACAGTACCATTAAAAACAATCTCAAACAACTAAACCGGTGCAAAAACACAATACATACATCTCATTTCATTGTAATCCCTTTATTCATTCATTTCTGGGTCAGGGGGTTGGCAATCAGAGCTGCCAACCAATTCACAAAGCACCAGTCAATCACTTTCCATACATAATTAAGTCCAATATGGTCAACATGGTTTGAATACTACTGAACAAACTCTCTCATGAAAGTTGAAACAAAAACTAAACTGTCTAGAATTTCCCCACGCACCTCTAGTGAATAACGTAACTTGGAACACAACAGCATTTCATTTTACAATTGACATTTTTTGCATTCAAAGCTGTCTTAAACACGGCGTTAGAATGTTGTGTTATTTCTGTCGAGCAGCACGGTCTCATAAATTCTCTATTGGCAAATATGTCCAGTGCAGTCTATATGGTGAGGAGATGAGATCATTTATTGTGTCTCCAATAACAGGAAATGCATCATTATTTAAAATATTATGCAATAACCTAATAGTATTCAGTACCCCATGGCAAGAATAAATAACACAAAAGTTATAAATCTGTGTGGAAAAGGGCATTAATTCTATATAAAAAGTCCATAGCACATGCAAAAGCAATATTTGAGCTTGCACACAACATGTTTTTGTTCATTAAGACCGTTGGACATAATAGGCAACTTTAATAGGGATTTTCGGTCTTACGACATAGAGCCCGCCTCCTGCACAGAGAGCTGTTCTTATTGGAAATGGCATGTTCAGGTCTGTCCCTGCAGGCGCTCAGTTCATAAACACATCCCTTGCGCACCTTGTTTTGTTCACATTTTCTTTGTGCCCGGTCGCGGCTGCCAGATGGCTCCCACGCTGCAGCTTTACCCCAGTGGCAAACAACATTCCTCAGCCACTGCTCTCACTGTTAACCCTCCAGGCTCAGGTCCATGTCCCCATCGTGTAAAAGCCTCCATATGGTTTTGCTGCAAGGGTTAGGGTTAGTTGTATTACAAAATTTAGGCTGTATCTTTTTTTTTATATACTAACTTTCCTCTGCTTTGTGTTAATGCTATAACTGTAATGTTTTACTATATGTCAACATTTCTTCAATTGCATGTGTTATACTTCACAGAGATGATAATGATACCCCACTGTGGGTGGGTAACATCAATTTCTATGTGTTAGTAGAAATGCAAAAAGTTTTCTCGGTGGATGTGTTACCTGCTTGTCACCATGGAGACAGATTTGTTTAATTACTCCAGCAGATTTCAGTGGAAACAATGGTATTTCCTTGGGGACATGGACTGGAATAAGTGTCCCTTTAAATTTCTTTTGTATTTCATTTGAAAATGTATTTACATTTTTGACCTCCTGGCCCTAAACTAGTTGCAAATATGTTCATTTAGAATAGTCCCTCTCCTTGGTATAACGAACACCAGTTAGTTTTTCTGGAGGAGAATAGTTTGACAAATAATAAGGGAGCTTGTCTGTCAATCAAGTATTGGAAGTTAGCGTGTCCAATTGGGAAGCAGGAAGGGGTGAGGTCAAATCAGTGCTGCATTCAAAAGTACTCTTCACAAATTCTCCAGAAATTGATAACACACACAAAGAAAACATTAGGCATAAACAACTTTGCTGAGCTTCTGTGCATGTTACAGCCTTGTTCCCTCATCAAACAGACCTGCAGTTGTTTTTAGACTCATCTATACCAGGGATGTCAAAGTCAAATACATCAGAAACACATTTGCTACAAGCCGAGGACCAGACTGGTTCAATGTTTATTAAAACATGTTAAAATGATTGCACAGCAGATCAAGACCTAACACAGTGTAGCATATTTTATTTAATGCTTAAATGAATAATCCAATATTTTTGTTTGGCTCTGTCAGTAATTTCAAGTGAAAACAGACAAAAACAAAACTATCGTCCTGGGTGCCATGATAATTCATTCGGAGGCCTGATCTGTCCCCCAGGCCTTGACTTTGACACCCATGATCTACACAAATATCAGACACTTCAGGGACACAAATGTAACCCTGCTCCTTCTATCTAAAAGTAGCTGTTTCCATCCTGTAATAGTGTGATGTCATAGTACCTCTATGACATCACGCTCAGAGCAGTTGTAAACTTTTGAAAACCAAAGTAGTGGCCATAATTTAGTTTTGGAATTTACTAAAAAACTGGCATTTTCAACTCCTCCCTCTGGTGGTAGCAAAGGGAGTTACAGGTGGAAAGCTTTTTTGCCCTTCATCCTTGTTTCAACAAAAAATGTCTACTTAAGATTTACCATTCTAAAAAGTGAAAAGGAACTGTATATAGTCTCATTATCATTTTAAAGACCAAACATAATGCAGAGTTTGTCTTCTTTAAATTGGAATTGTCACAATCCACCAATGTTTTATGCCGATATGTCACAATGCAGCCATTAATGGATTAAACACTTATACTGCATCTGTTGTTAGTGGTTCTCTTTGGTCTTTTCTCAATTCTCATTCTCAAATCTGAACATTGCATATATTGTGTTTTTTGTATTACCACTACCTTTGTTATTTTCTGTCTCTCCTGCACATACAATCTCATCCATCAGCTGATTATCCTGACTCACTTCACTCTTTAACCCACAGGCTGTAACCGCAGTAATGACTCCATGGCTCTTGTTTTGGTTGATGTTATCCACATTAACCAGAAATAACATAAAGCAGAAGTAGATTTCAAACCTACAATAACCTTTTGTCCAACTGTGTCAAAGGTTCTTTTAAATGGCTCCATGCTATTTTGCATTTCCCGGTTCTGCAGAATCATCAGAATGTTGAGAAAAAAGAGAAAGATCTACAGTGAAAGTAGAAGTTACGTATACTGTGGAAAAATACAGACTGTCTGAAGTTAAGTCACTCACTTCTACTGTTTTAGGTGAATTAGAATTAGTAAAATAGTTTATATTGAATGATGAGAGAGGAAAATGTAGAGCTTTACAAACATTTTATCTGGTAGAAATATCTAGAAGCTGTTTAACTTGGACCAAACATGTTGAGTATTGTTCAGGTCGTTTTTACATTCTGACCCATTCTTCCTTGTTTATTATGTGTAACAACTCTCGACATGTACCAAGGCTCTTAATCTTGAGATGTTGGCTCCATTTTTCCACATACTGTTCCTCCATGATGCCAAAATACAGTGGCTTCACAAACAAAGTGAAAGAAAAATGATACATGATAGTGATCATTAGAGCCTGCATGTGTTTATACAGAACATTTATCTGAGTGTATTAGGACTTCAAATGTCCCAATGACCTCTGAATGCTCACGTCTTAATGATTGAAAAGAGCCCACATGAATGTAATCTACTCTCAGAATAATGAAAGCTGTTCTGTGAGGGCCTCAGAGCTGTGTTCAGGGTGTATTGCTAACTAAACTGCATTATGAAACTCAAAGAGCAGAGAGGCCTTGGAGAACGTTGTGGAAAAGTTTAAAACAGTGTTTGAATAGAAATGTAACATCTTAGTGAGAGCAGTCCAAGTCGAAACAATGAGAACACTGATCAGAAAAGGAACCATGCGCAGAAATAAAACCATTGTTGAAGGAAAGTTGTTAGAATCCCTCACCAGAGCTGGAATATTAATGTGTAAGAATGGCCCAGTCAAAGTCCAGATCTAAATCCAATTGAAAATCTGTGGAAAGACCTGAAAACTGCTGTTCACAAACACTCTCCATCTAATCCCACAGCTTGAGTTGTTTTGTTAAGACAAATGGCCAAAACCTTCAGATGTGTCAAGCTTGTAAAAGAGTCAAAAGGGGTTCCACGAAGCATTTTTTGGGGTCTGTGGTCTGTTACTTTGATTTGGGCTTATTCATTTTGAACCTACAAACAAGATAATTTTATTATCAAATCTATGCTAAATTAAACAATAAACAAAATACAGAATAAAAACAATGGGGTCTTTGTCCTATATCTGTTAAAATATAGACAAGTGCTTTGTGTGACCTCAGTCCAAATGTAACTTTCTTACTCTACAAATTGTAATCTTACCAATCTTGATTCATGGGGATCGACAATTGTCCTCCTGATATTGTGGCTGATTCTTTGTGATTTTCTACATTGTCAAACAAGGAAACCGTGTGTTTGAACCTTAAAACACAGCTACAGTGGAGTCTCCCAATGACATAAATGTTGTCAAATAATCTAAGGTTTCAAGCCAGGTCATGACATTAATATAGCTCTCTTCGTAACCCTTTTAGCAACCCTCTGATTCTGTAGAAAATGGGGAAACATTTTATATTCATATCGTCAGAGAAAAAAGACACAGTCTAGGTCAAAGTAAAATGATACACTTATATCTGATTGAACTTCTAAATATCTGTGCATATAAACTTCTGATTTCAACGGCATCAAAGTAGCTATTCTGGAAATGGTTGACAAATTAAACACATAGCTCCACCTGAGTCCTGTGTGTGTACAATTAACAGATGTCTGGTTTATCCATCAGCAGCAAAAGCCACGGTCTGGAACCTTTGCTCTGTGAAGCACTACAGCTATCGGAGGTTTCATGTATCTTTGTGTATTTTGACCTCTCCTGATCATCAACATTCACAGTGCTTTGTGCATTCTTGCTTCTTGCTTACGTCTTGCTTACGTCTTGTCCTCTTGTCACTGCCTCCTGGTCACTGCACTGAAACCCACTTGTGACTCTACACGCAGGAGCAAAGTGTAGATGTGTTGGCTCAACTGGGTAATTACTGTAACTGTGTGATAACCAGACTCTGTGGTGATAACCTCAGATCTCCACAATACTGCACAATCCTCGGATATGGTTGATTAAACTGTTATGTGTAAGTGGGCCCATAGGATAAGGTGTGTTTCAACATATCTGTTTAAGAGTAGAGAATGTGCACTTTTCTATTCATGGTTAATTATTAATGTCTTATAGCGTTGTTTAAATTATCCACTGTATGTGAGAAAATGGTGAGGTCTTTGTTTACAGATGTATAACATTAGTCATGGTTGAATAGGGAGGGATAAGTTTAACTTCAGGGTCCTTCTATAAACAGGGTTAATCCTGGTGGGGGTGGATAAGAGAGAAAACAGGGTCATGGCAGAAAACATCTCAACTTTACTTTCACAACGGTGTTATTTAGAACTGTAGAGCACTTTTAAAAGTACCTACTGTTCACAGCAGTGTTGTTTATTATGACGTAATATACAGTAAGTCTATGTCCCCACACATGTGATAACATTGTCCTCCTCTCTTTGGTGGGGGGCGTATCATTAAAGTCTTGCCACTGCATGCCCTGTTTGTTCCGTGGGCACCAATGGACGCAGATACAAAAGCTTTTAATGAAGGCTTTCACCAAAGGCAGCTCTAAGTATCTGAGAGTAAAGGTCACCAAAGAACAATGGAATAACATTCATTTTTAATTTTTCATTGGGCACAAAATCAATAATAAATAAATTAAGTATTTAGTTAGTAAGTATTTAGTCATGCTTCAGTGATCTCACCTTCACAAACTGACTCTTTGCAGTTTACAATATTATTACTTTAGTGATCAGCATGACGAGTCATGCATTACTCCAACATCAGTGTGTTTCATAAATGTAGTTTAACAACTCATTCACATGGCGTTAATAAAATCAGAATCAAAATGATTGTTATTGACATTGTAAGTAGTACTGTTGTTTGTTATTTCAATGGTGCAAACACATTATGTTTTTAACATTTATTTCATTATGTTAAAAACAAACATAATGAAATAAATGAGGCCTGATTATGCTTCCGTGAATCCATTGAAACAGACGTAAAGGATCAGGAGTCCTTTCTCCTCGCTGCGCTTCATTATTAAACAGCTTGAATTACAAACACAGGAGGTGAAAGTTTGGGAGGATACGCGTCGTGACCACGCTGTCCCTCACTGCGCAATCATCGTGCCACAGCGTGAGGTGGAAACAGGATTCTGAGCAGACAAATCATCACCCCGCTCCCCGTGGGCCACCCCCCTCTCGCGCACACCCAGCCCCCCTCCCGCTCCCTCCGCTCCCCCAGCTCCACTGGAGGCCCTATAAAAGCGCGCAGAGGGAGCGCAGCCGCACGGAGCGCTCCTCAGGTGAGAGATGGCACCATCTCGGACCAATGATGCGTCCATACACCGCTGACCCACGGAACTCTAATGTTCTTTTGCTTTGATTTCAGGTGTTATCTGTTCGACCATCAACATGAAGGCTGTAGCTCTCATTCTCGCTCTTGTTGTCATTGGTGAGTCAATACTCTACAGATATGTTCACCTCTTTCAATCATGATAACAACTACACCAACAGCTAACTTATGGCACGAAAGAAATGCTTAAAATTATGATACATATAAAATATTGTTAATGTTAATTTTGTTGATTGTTGATTTTGTTAATAGTTAACACGTATTGTAAAGACTTATAGCATGTAAACCAATGCAAATGTTGAGAATTACATTGTTGTCTTGTACTAGTTATTTAGCCTTCCCCCGCTCCCAGGCTTGGTGATGACTGGATTGGTGATTGGTATTAGAACATGTGTTGAATGTTGTATTTCTATGTGTGCAGGCGCCAGTGCCCGCTCCCTGCCTGAGACCCCCCAGGCCTTGCAGGATGCTGTAGATAAGTTCTGGCAGCACATCAATGACCTGAACCAGAAAGCCGATGGTGCGGTGCAGACCATCAAGGCCTCTCAGCTGAGCCGGGAGCTTGAGTAAGAAGCGGAGACATTATTTATACATACAGTACATTCTTAACAAAAAACAATATTCTCATGTCTGTCCTTCCACCCACAGTACTCTGATCACAGACACCATGGCTGAGCTGACCACCTACAAAGACAACGTCCAGACCAAACTGGCCCCATACACTGACATCTCCGCCAACCAGATGGCCCAGGACCTGCAGCTGCTGACCAGCCGCCTGCAGCAGGACATGCTCGAAGCTAAAGAGCGCAGCACCGAGTACCTGGGCGAGCTGAAGATCATGGTCGAACAGAACACCGACGATGTCCGCGGACGCGCCAGCACTTACACCAACAAGCTGAAGAAACGCCTCAACAAGGACACCGAGGAGATCTTCAAGTGAGTGCTCCCAATCTGTCAGATCAGAATTATCTGTATTGACATTGTGAGAAACAGGAAGTCACAAACGTCATATGTAAACAGAATTAAGGTGAAAGTAACACTCTGACATGAGACAATGAAAAGAGTCTGTACTAGTCTGGAGTAGTAGTTTAGTAGTTTATTATTTCTTCAGCCATTATGTACATTACAACTTAGGTCACATGTTTTCAAATATCAAACACGATGATAGGTCACTTCTCTGCTATTTCGAGATTCTAAAAATTTTTGTATAGCCCTAAATCACAACACAATCTCAGAGGACTTAACAAAACTGCTGAAATCGTCAACACAGATCAGAGAATAAACTGTTAAGACACAAAAAAAATAGAACACATCCGTATTGGTCCATAGGGAGAGTTGACCAATGTCCATGAATGTTGAGAAAAACAGGTTCTTGCTTCTCCTTCTCAGCACTGTGGCCACCTACATGGGCGAGCTCCAGTCCCGCACCTCCCAGAACATGGAGACAGTCCGTGGCCACGTGGAGCCCTACATGCAGCAGGCCAGCGAGACGGCAAACCAGAAGTTCACCGACATCACCGCGCTTCTGCAGAGCCAGGCCGAGGGCTTGGGCCAGACCCTGGAGAGTCAAGCCGCCGGTGTCAGGACCCAGATGGAGGAGACCGTGGATGGACTGCGCACCGCTCTCGAGGGAAACATCGACAAGCTGACCGAGATCATCCAGCCGTACGCAGCCAAGATCCGCGAGCAGATCGAGACCATCGCCGAGAAAGTCAAGGAGACCACCCAGTAAATAAAACAGACTGTCGAACACATTTCAGAGGAGTTATTGTAATGTAAACTGCTTGTACGTTACTGATCCGATGCTGTATGGTTACTTTGGTGTGCAGAGAGAATGGGTTTGTGTCACAATACTTGTACATTCACTCATAATCTCTGAGCACAGGTACCTCAAGCAATAACTCTGTCACTATCATCCAATAATGCTTAACTACTACTGTTTACTTTTCTACCAACCAACCCCTCATTATACTACAAAGGGGTCAAATCATTTCAATGTATGCACTGAAAAGTCTTTCCAACAATGGCAAGAGTTTACGACAATTGCCTGAATGTATTGCGACCATTTCTTCTCGTTGTGAAAATGTGAAATGCATTCATGACAAGCTTTAAGATTGATGCTGCCTTCTTCAGATGTGCTGGAGAGTCCCTTGTATTTCAAAATGTCCATGCTGCTCACAGTGTTGCGTGAATAAAGGACAAAATAAACCAAAATGTTTTGTCTCTGTTCAAATCAATCATTTAAAAGCTCATTTATAATTCAGTGATGGTTGGGTTACACCAGACCTGCAAAAGGCCTGCTGGGTTTTCACTCTACACAGTTGGGTCTTTACGACGGTTGATAAAAAGTGTTGCCTGATTCGTAAATGATCTTGAGAAGCCTGGGGTGCATTATGGAACGGTATATGTTGAGAATATGACATAACGGATCATGATGAAGTCTCTAAGTGCAGCACAAGTCTTGACATGCTCCATTTATCTGCTGACGATGGAGTTTCAGTCCGTGTTTAAAGTTCCAATTACCCACTCTTCATATTCACTATTGTATTGTATGTCGTGTTTTTACCATATCAAAAAATACTCTACTTCCAATATTCTTGTGTTATTCAGTAAGTTTAAGATTAAGTTTATTAAGGAAAACCCCTTGAGAAGAATCATCTCATTTTCGAGGGGGTCCTAAACATAAATACAAACACACAATATAAACAAACACACATACAGAATGAAAATTTCCAGCGAATTAAATATGAGAAGAGTTAATTAAACTAAATTAAAACTTAAAAAAAAACGTTCAGTAACATCTATTCTAATGCCGTAGTGATGATTTGAGTTCATTTTTCTTTTACCAAAATCATTTCTAATAGACCAATGGCCCCATATAAACGTATCTGTTTTTACACTATATAAGTGTTTGTTTATAGTTTGCATTTTCTATTCACTCCACACAGGGAAGACAGAAGCGACAAGCTGAGGGCATCCAAGACTCCAGTACAGATCCGTTCACTCATTTGCTCATTCCACACCTATTGTACATGTTTTTCACACCTATGCACTCATATAGTTTCCACTGTATTCCTCCGCCGATCGGTAATTTGCATTCTGTATCTCCTCAGACAGGTTCATAGGCAAGAGAGATTTAAATAAGTGTGTTAAGCTTTTGAGGCATAAGACTATTGAAATATAAAGGTTACTGTTATTCAGAAAAGAGATTTGGTTTTGGTTTGAGTGTATTTGTACAGCACATTCACACACAAGGCAACTCGAACAAGAGAAGAAAAGAATCATTAAAATCACACTAATCTTTCAAATAATAAATAATCACAGAAATACGGCCTGTATTTTTTCACTCTCTTTAATGCTATAGAATTATTTCCGTGGGTTATTTTTCATACTCTACGGCCTCTAACACTATTGCGATGTGTACTAGGGCCTCGAACCGTGTTGCCCTGGTTATTGTTTTATCTGTGCATACGGTTTTACTTTATTGCTCTGACTTATATACTTCACTCATGGAGACCTGACTTTTTCATTAATCAGAAAAGCATCCAGACTTGATGCAGGATCCGAAGGCCCAAACAACCACAAGGCCAGTAGTGTTTTTTGTTGGAGATCCCGCCATATGGTTTCCGTGGCCTAAATGTTAATTCCATTAAAGCAGCAGGGCACAAGGGGAAGTGCAGATCTGAGGCCAGCAGAGGACACCATTTGTCCCTCGTTCGTCTCCTCTGACCTTCTCCACTTGAGTCCAGGCAGCTGTGTTTTCTTAGAGAGAGCTCGTAAGGTGCAGCGGTCACAAAGACAAACACACAGCGCCTCGATCCAAAGGCATAGAACCTATACGCTCAAGCAGACTGTTCAGCTAAATGAAATCGTATGAGATGGTTTTCATAGATAGAAAAAATATCCTTCTGTTGTGCACGATATAGATTTTGTTTGGAGGTTGTCATTCGTTCAATAATGTGTACCACTGCAGATAAACTCTTTAATGTTCAACCCTTGAAGAATGTATTTTCTTTTTTCTTTTCATTATCTAAGACCTAGGAGCACTTATGATTTGTTTTTATGTTTTGTGGAATCTGACCTGTATGTTTTAGACTGAGCTAGGACAAACGTGAAAAATAAAAATAGTATTCAATTCATAGAAGATTTGCAGACCTTGGTTATATTTGGATTGTCTGTACTCAGTGTTAGTAACTGACATATTTCTGATGCACTTTGATTCACATCACATATAAGGCTGTGTTTAATTATGTTCCGTCTGAAAAGCTTGGAAATAAAATAAAGGTGCAAGTCCGTGAGTTTACTGTTTATTGGTTTTTTTAAGGATAGGTCTTTACCAAATGGTTGAGATGCAGTTTGATGGTAAAAGTGCCTAGAACCAAGTGATAGCTCCAAGATTCAAGTCGATATAGTGACTCAGATTCCAATTTCGATTCATTTATTTGCCCTTTGCAGTAAAACCACATTGGAATACATTCTCCAGAAAAGTCTCAAAAAGTAATCTACCAAAAAGCTGAGGGCACTATTGAAGGGTTCATGAAAATCTAAAAACTATTTCCATCCATGGGTTTTTTTAATGGGAGAAAATATCTTAAAAATGTTACTCTGGAGGCTAAACTACACCACACAAAGAGTTTGAGTAAGAATCAATGTATTCCATCGAGTTGACCCATATCTGGATATGGTTTAATTAATGAGTACACAATTACAGAGCTTTTGTAACTTCACAAAGTCATTATAAAGACGCCAACCCTTGAGATATTAAACTACTCTTTATTTATGTATGTATTTATTTTATTTAACCTGCACAACACTTGTTTTTACATATATCAATATAACAGACAATTAAACTTGTACCTGGTTGTACAAAGGATTGGATGAAGCAATAGCAAACAGCGTTGCTTATTTTAGGTCACTGTGACCTAAAAGATCTGATCTATTCGTTATTATGTCTCACAAATGTCCAAATCTAATCCTCCAAAGTGAGTTAAGTAAGTCCCTAAGTGAGACAACAGTGTATAAACAGTGTTTTTTCTCTCTCTAATTATTATACTGTATGTAAACAGTTTTGTTTTCCATTTGCGCTCCGCCGTCAAAACATGTTTTTGTGTGAAAGTGCACCGCCTGAGGTCCAACACTGACTCATAATTCCTTCCAACTAAAAAAAACAAGCACTGTTTTTAGATTCATCATTGCACACTCACTGATTTCACCAAGCAGCATTTCTCTATTTTGTCTGTTTTGCACAAATAAACACGACTGGTCGAGGATTACTGGTGACTTCTGGTAACCTTGTCTCCATCAAAGCCTGTGATCCTGCTTACGGTTTGGCCCGAGACTCGGCTCACAGCAGGGGGCCGCAGCAGAACACAAAAACAGCCATACAAGAGCTTGTTATTGCCAATCAGGATATGCGCTTTCACACTTGGTGCCCGGGACCATTAAAGTCACACCACATTCATGACAGAAGGGTGGGGTCTTGGGGAGTTTCAAAGCGTCTGACCACTTGGCTCTCCCCATTTGTCCCCCATAAAGTTTGGAGACAGAAAAAAAGTGTTAAAGTGGTTTTCTGTATGACAAACAAACTCACTGGCTTTGAGCTTTGAAGGAATCGATGGGTTCTGTTCGAATGAACAAACTTTTATTTATTTTTTTTTACTGCCTATACAGCACTTTGGTAAGCCCGGGCTGTTTTAAATGTGCTCTACAATTAGATATTTGATTGACTGATTTAAACGGTGTGAATCTTTTTTAAAGATTAAGAATAGAAGATAAAGAAATTCTGTATTTGTCCCACAGTGATGAAATTCTAGTGTTGCATCACAAGTTACAGAACAGTAGGAATGAGGAGCACACAGCACAAGATATAGTTGAATATTTAGTATCGCACAACTCTGATTTAAATTAAAATAAAATAATAATAATAAAATAATAATAAATAATACTAATAAATAAAATAATAGTAAAATAATAATAATAAAATAATAACAATAAATAATAATAACATAATAATAATACAAAAATGATAATAATAAATAATAATAATAAAATGATAATAATAATAAATAATAATAATAAAATGATAATAATAAATAATAAGAAGAGTAAATGATAAAACAATAGATATACATTTGTTCTTGTGTGTACGCAGATACATCTGTAAAGTTACAAAAAAAATTAAATTGTGGAATTTCAAATAGAAAACATACTTTTCATCAAGCAGTTTTTTCAGTGCAATGTAAATTTAATTGCATCTCTCTTAAGTCAGCCTCCCAACAATACGTAAACAATATGTGGTGGTTTAAAGTCAAAATTATAGAAGAAAAAAAGCAACTCCAAGTGCTTACCAAAACAAAAAAGTGGCATTAACATCATACATAATCACAGCTAAACACAACTGTTTTCAACCTGGATTTGAACAGTTTCAGAGTAGAGGCCTGTCTCACATTATAGGGAAGACTGTCTCCTCATGACTCTGGGCACGAGCAGGAGGCTCGTCCTTGTGCTCCGAGAGTGATCCGAGAGATACTTTTACGCATGGTTACTCTTCCAAATTACTTGTTTTTGTTATATAGCATGTATTCCAGCCTTGCCAGTAATTCAGAGAGTTTTAATACATGTAAAAAATAATTGATATAAAATGTGTTGACAGAAAAAACGCAAAAGTAAGAAGGAACAAAACTTATTCTAAGACTTCCTTGAGTTTCTTGCAGACAGCATGATCAAAGTTTATTGCAGTTCACCTATTTTTGCAACGACTTGCTAACAAGGCAAAGTCAAATGTTGCCATCTAGGCCTTTTTCAAGTAGGTTAAAAGCTCTCTGACACAATAGTACAACATTGACAAGTCCAAAGTTGCTTCCAAATCGCATGGAACTGTTAACACTTTTAATCTCATCTTATCTGCAGACGCCACTACTCCAGCTGTGGAATAAACTTTGCTTCCTACATAACGATTGGTCGGCGTGGTGCATTTGAGAAGATGCAAATTTGAATGCTTACAAAAAATATGCATTATAATCAGAACGGCTCTTTATTAGCATCTTAAATGACGACGGTATTCAAATGATAATCCGTTTCTTGACCGTGGCGTGCTCATTGGTCCACAGAGGGGGCTGAGGTCACTGCCTAGGCATATTTGACTTGTGACTGGCCTTTGAGTCGGCCCCTCGGAATCTGCAGCTTTATAAAGAGGAACGCAGACACAGGCCAGACAAACGCATCTGGATCTCTGCATCTCTGTCCCCCCAAAAAACAGGTAAGTTACAGTCAAAACTCCATCACGCAAGCATTGAAGGACATTTGTCAAAGTTGAATGGATTCTAAATGTGTGTTGCTGTATTTTTTTGCTTTCTTTATCAGAAAAAAATCACTGCAAACATGAAGCTGTACTTGGCCATTGCTGTGCTGGTGCTGGCGTTTGTGGCCTATACCGGTAAGAATGCAAACATTATAAGAAAAAAATAAATAAATATATGTTTTCTCTTGTTTAAAGTCAACCCCGTCACATGACTTCTTCCATATTGCAGAGGCACAAGAGGCCACCGTGGAGGAGAGGTTCAACCAGTTTGGTCAGCAGATGACCGAAATGGGAAAAACTGTAGCTGAAAAGGTGAAGACAGCCGCAGAGGATTTTCAGAACAATGAGAATGTACAGAAAGCGAAGTAAGTTCTCGAAAAAACACAGCCTAACATGAATCTTTTTTGTACTTGATTCAAAGCCTGTAACGCTGCCTCTCTGCTCCTCCCACAGGGACTGGTTCCAGGAGCAGATTGACAAACTTACGGCCCAGTTCAACTAATCCCGAGTCCGACCAACCCAGACCTCTTCAGTTAAAACCATGCATTTGTACTTTAACAGAATGATACTGTAATTGCAATGTAATTACAACAAGAAGCTGTGAAGCAACAGAAATGTAAAATAAAGGTTGTTTTTGTATATCTCTTGACTGATTAGTCTGTCTGACTTGCAAAATCAATATAATGTTAATAACAGTTGATAGCGAGCAGTGCAATAGTACTTTAATACTAGTCTTTTCAAAACCATAAGTGTATACAGAACCATGCAGTAAATATATTATTCCAGGACCGTAATGTGTTGTATTTTATAATGTACCATAACATACATAAATAAAAATGTGGAAAGTAAACAGATAATAATACAAAAAGCTGTAAGCCTGATATAAATTTAAAATTATATAATTCCAAAAGAGAAAAACTGAAAGAAATTGGAATGTACCAATCAGTGGTACCAAAGGGCAAGTGCCAACATGTAAGCAGCAACATTTCACAATTCTTTGGCTAAAGTCACTATTTATGCTTCAGTTAATCATCGACTTTTTCCAGAAATGGTCAGAGAACATAAGGTTCATGTGGGGAACAGTTGATATCCACGCATGTATAAATCCTTTTTCATCACAATCAAAAACAAGACAAACAATGCTAAAAGTGAGCGTGGGGAAAAACAGTGACAGAAATAAAGAACACCTCAAAAAGCTGTAAACTCATTCCAAATCACATATTTACCAAAAAAACCCCTCCCACATTGCTTCATCTCCTGTTGGCACTGATGATGGTTGCCATGAAATGTGGATATTGGGCAAGACTGTCCCCAGGATCAAGGCCCTTTCACTGCTACACTGCACAAAATCATACACTTTGAGGTAATAATTTCTTGGATTTGAGTACAATTCTGACTGAAAACAAGATTTGCTGAAGGGACGAACCATTTAGTCTTATATGAAGAACTGTTGCTTTAGTTTCTCATTCCAAGGGAGACATTTCTTGTGTCTTTTAGAATAAGATAATTGTGCTCATCCTCTTGGCAAATCTTGTTTTAAGGCAGTCAACACATGCTCGAATTATGCTAAATTTTAAGATACATCTGCTAAAAAACTCACTCTTACATCTGCTACTCTGTGAATGAAAAAGCCGCTGGTCCTCCAACCACCAGCACTACTATTATACTATTTACTACTGGCACTATTATCTTATTTTCTGCACACATCTGCACGCATCCTCCTCACATACAGTACACAGCTAAACAAAGACTGCTTGTGAGGTTTGATCTTGTCAGTGGAGGCCGTGTCTCACACTTTTCAGGAAGACTGCTCCAGGTTTAAGCTGAAACCTGCAGCATTTTAACAAATAAAAGGCTTGATATTGTTTGTGTTCCATAAGAATGTCATATAGTTAGAGCAAGTAAAAGGACTTTAGAGCTTCTCCTGTAAATGTCAAATGCTGATGACCTGTGTTTGGTCCTGAATGTCGGAACAGCAGAAGGCCCTGAAATTCTCTAAGTTTGAAATCGTTCATAGGGGACTGACATATGAGAGATGATGAAACCCATTTTTGAACCATGTACATCCATCTGTAGAAGGATGTATGTGCAGGTTTGAAATAGAGGTGACACGCTGACACATTCAGTTTTCATATCTGTAATTTAACATACGATGTGAAACTAATACCCTCATTACACAAACTGCACTTAAATGGTTTCAGTCCTATCTGACTGAGAGAACCTTTTCTGTCCAATTGGGCCAGTTTTCCTCTCAAATGTCCAATTTAAAGTGTGGAGTGCCCCAAGGCAGTATTTTGGGCCCTACCCTTTTTTGTCTTTACATGCTTCCCTTAGGAGCTGTATTTGAGAAGCTTAACATACAGTATCTTACCACTGCTATGCTGATGACTAGCAGCTGTGTACAAACACTTGTTGACTGTTTGAAGGAAGTTCAGAACTTTCTTCAAACAGTCAACAAACCTCTTTTGGCTTATGAATTTATTATCGACAGCCATTTTAAATTTGATAAGCAGATAAATGCTGTTCTTAAAACAAGTTTTTATCATCTTATGGTGCTTTCAGACCGCAAACGCTGAAACACACGTTCTCTAGTTTTCAGACGCAGGGGTCTTCAGACCAGAGGTCCTGGCGCGCGCCGGAATTGGCGGAAGTAGCCGGCGGACTCTGATGCTAACAGAGTTTAGCTAGCGGCTTCTTGTGTACAGATCTTCTCCAATAATGCAGCTTGGCAGGGTGTCTGTGTTCAGAGACCTTCCACGGGCTTTATATAACAGTAGTATGTTTTCATGGAGGTGCGCAATACGTTTATTTTATGATTATAATAATAATCGTGCGTTTTGACGTTTGAACGCGCGTCACCGTTGACTTTGCATTGAAAGCCGACGCAACGCATGATCGGTCTGAACGCGGCATTATAGTTCTTAGCAAAGTAAAATCGTATATTCCACATTCCATCACTTCAAGGCTTTATTATTGTAACTCCCTCTATGCCGGCATTGACCAGTCCCAGCTTAGCCTCTTACAGGGAGTGCAAAACACAGCAGCCCGTCTTTTAACAGGGACAAAGCGCAGGGACTACATCACTCCTGTTCTGCGATCTCTGTACTGGCTCCCGGTATATTTTGGAATTCATTTTAAAATTCTTATTATTGTTTTGAAAAGTTTTAATAGAATGTCACCCTCTTATTTATATGAACTCCTCCAACCCCACCTTCCCTCCAGAGCACAGAGCTTTTTTTGTTATAGAGCCAAAGTTGTGGAACTCTTTACCTTTGCACATTAGAACTGCACAATCACTCGAGCACTTTAAATCCCTGCTTAAGACGCACCTTTTCTCTTTGGCTTTTAATACCAAATAGACAAGTTTTCTTTCTTTTTATTTTGTTATATATATTTCTGTGTTTTTATTTTTTATCCATATATTTTTCTCTTTGTCTGTTCAGTACTTTGGTAAGCCTAGGCTGTTTTAAATGTCCATCCATCCATCCATTTTCTTCCGCTTTATCCGTTGCCGGGTCGCGGGGGCAGCAGTCTAAGCAGTGACGCCCAGACTTCCCTATACACACACACCTCCTCCAGCTCGTCCGGGGGGACCCCAAGGCGTTCCCAGGCCAGCTGAGAGACATAGTCTCTCCAGCGTGTCCTGGGTCTTCCCCGGGGCCTCCTCCCGGTGGGACGTGCCCGGAACACCTCCCCAGGAAGGCGTCCTGGGGAGGTGTTTTAAATGTGCTCAACAAATAAAGATTTGATTGATTGATTGATTACGTGCAAAGTGAGATTCATCAAGCCTTGTATTTGTTATAATGTTGATCATTTTGGCCCACAGCTTCTATAAACTCCAGATAAAACATCTCAGAAAATTAGAATATTTTGAAAATGTGCTGTAAGCCGTAACCATCAAACTCATAACTAAAAAAAGCTTGGAATATGTCACTGTCAAAAAAATGCTATACAAGTTTTCTGTATTCCATCCATCCATTTTCTACCCTTTAATCCATTTCTGGGTCAGGGGGGTGGCAATCAGAGATGCCACCCAAGTCTCATAGCACCAGCCCCTCACTGACCCTCTGCAGGTGGTGAGTCCACAGGAGGACAGCTGCTCTCTGAGTGTGAGCATAGCCTTGATCTTTCAGTGGGGGCTTTGGGCAAAGTGGGGTTAAGTGTCTTGCCCAAGGACACAACGACAGCAGTCATCAGTGGGAGTCGATGGAGAAGGTGCAGAGGTGGGAATTGAACCCACGACCTTCTGGCCTTAAGGCCAATGCTCTACCAACTGAGCTACTGTCGCCCCAGTTTTCTGTATTATTATTATTATTATTATTATTATTATTAGTATTCGTATTATATTATTATTATCCATCCATCCATCCATTTTCTTCCCCTTAATCCATTTCTGGGTCAGGGGGGTGGCAGCCAGAGCTGCACCCAGTACACATAGCACCAGCCCCTCACTGATCCTCGTGCAGGTGGTGAGTCCACAGGAGCTGAGATCTTTCAGTGGGAGCTTTGGGCAAAGTAGGGTTAAGTGTCTTGCCCAAGGACACAACGACAGCAGTCATCAGTGGGAGTCGTGAAGTAGGTCGTATGGTGGGCTCGAACCCACGACCTTCAGGCCCAAAGGCCAATGCTCTACTAACTGAGCTACTGTCGCCCCATAATAATAATAATATATTATTATTATTATTATTATTATCATTTTAAATAGTTATTTTAAATAGATTTTTCCCAGTAAGTGAATATTACTCATTTATTGTTAGTTTATTTAAAGCTTGGCGATATCACTCAGGGTTTTCTTTGAATTGAACTGTTTGTAAGCCTCACTTTTGACATTTTGACGCGTAGACTCTTTAATGAGGCAGGTGTGACAATGGCAGGGTGGCCCGGTGGCTGAGTGGGTAGCACCATTACCTCTCAACTACAGGGTTCTGAGTACGAACCCCAGTCGGAGCATAAGTAGAAATTTAAAATTTATTGCAATCGCTTGAGTTACTTGGTAATATCAAGTAAAGGATGTACTCGAGGAATTCAAGTGAAGTTAATACGCAATTTATTTCCATGGTTTTTTCAAGTAAACTTTATTTGTCAGGGTTTACAGTGCAATGTCCCATGTACTCTACTAAATGGTTTGATTATCTGATCTGTGTTGGAAAATTCAGTTATGTAAAGTCCTCCAACAGAAAAACAAAAATAAATAGAAGTGAAATGTATGGTTTCATTTTTTTCCACTGTTTCTTTGGTATTTTTTTGTCCTGTCTGTCTGTATGTTTTAAATTGGACCAACAACCAATTTAAAACCTACAGACAGATATTTCTCGTACCAATGTTATGAAGTTGAATCGATTGAAATGACATTGGCAATTGATAATTGATAAAATTCCTAAATTACAGATATGAAATTACTTTTGAACGATCTTCTATTTTCCAGAATCTCACCTCAACATGTCTCTGTCACTAAAACACATTGCTTTCCGTCATGACATTTGAGGAGTTATTTAAACAGACAGAAGAAGACTAAACACCGCTGTCCTTGAGCTGCACTGTGGACTCTAAAGTGCTGACTGAAAGTGCTCGAATGGACTCTTCTTCAGCCTTTGCACAAATCATCCAGTATCTGCGTGAGCGATAGCACCGGTATCAGCTCCACCACGGATCCAGATCCAAAGGACAAGATCTCAAACGCAAGAAACGACATGTCCAAACAGCTCCCATATGCTTGTCTTTATTTTAAGAAGTTACAAAACTCCCAAAAAAAATTGACGTTTCTCTAGGTTGGTGTTGAAAAACCTTGAATTGGGAGGATGCAATAAGGACACTGTGTGCTGTCTCCTAATACAAACAAAGCGACTTGATAAGACAAGTTTCATTCAACTCGTGTGTGTCCATTGAGCACCAACACGAAAGGTAAAATTAAATCTGGTAACTGCTTTGCACATATTTGTCGTAACGATGTGAACCCAGTGCTCCCTGTTTCTCTGAAGTCTGTAAATCTGTAACTTTACTGTACGTTATTGTCAAGATAGATGTGCTTTCTTTCCATAGATGGATAAGAGAGGGGTTGTGATTGCTCTCATACTGTTAATTCAAGGTAACTATATTTTTTTCGTTCAAAGTAAAATAGTTGTGGATCAAAATGGAGTCACAGAGGTTGTTCGTTGGAAGCACAATGGGGAAAATATCTAGGGCATTGGGTTTCAAACTGCGGTCTGTGTACAAGAACGACTACAACTATTGCTTGTTGAAGGCTTCAGAAAAAAACTGCGTACAATCAAGAAATCCAAATTTGTGGTTTAATTAAGAGAAAAATCTGGAACAAGACTATGTAAAACTAGAACACAAACTTTGGCTGAGAACAAGTGTATTGATTTATTCAGATTCAGTAATGTGAGTAAAGTCCAGGGATCTGCGACCTTTCGGTAATTTCCCCCTCTTCTGCGAAAAAGCGCAAAAAAACCCAAGACCTGCACAAAAACACACATCTTATATTTCTTAAATTTTTAAAATAGTTTTTTTTCAATGTTCCCTTTACAGGAATGGAATGCAGCAAACACAAATGTTATGTATGTGAATATGAAAAACTGTTATCGCAAGTGTAACGAGGCTTATCATGACATTAGTGGATGCAGTTCCTTGATAAAATCGCAACCTATACAAATAATTTTAAATCTGAAATTAATTTATTTATTTTTGGTCAAGGTAGAAGGAGCCAGAGCCACAGATTGCCTCTGCCTGCGGTATAGTCCCATTGTTGGCCTGGTTTAGTCTTGGACCCACTGGTATTTGGCAATCAAGTTTTAGATCCTCAGAAAATTATTCACTTATTCTTCTCTAAACATAAGGTATTTGAGTAAAATATGAAAGTCTCCAAAAAAGTCTACACACTACTTTAATCTTGGGCATTAAGCAAAATATAATTGGGCTGTTGGTGTTTGGGAGGAGCCTAAACATTAAATTCAATACAATCCATTATTTCAGGTATTATGACTTCTTTTGTGTTTTTTCTCGTGTTTTGCAGCATGTGGTCCACTTGTTGCTCAGACTGAAGCCCCTGCTCCTCCTGGTCTCATGCAGAGGCTGACAGAGAGAGCAAAGTAACGCACTAGATTTGATTGTTGCATATGCTGTTTTTTTGTATTTCCTCACGCGCTTGTTTTTTGCAGGGAGGTCAGAGAGAAGGTCCAGAGGGTGGGAGGGGCAGTGGTGGGTTTTGCTGGGACCTATTATGAGGATCACCTGCAGCCAGCCGCCTCCAGCTACTTCCAATGGGCCTCGAGTTGGGGAAAAAGCCTGCGGGAGAGTGCGCAGAACAAAATCAGCAGCTACAATCCATTTGCGAACAAGTGAAGAGACGGAATGACTCCTGTGAAATGCATTTGCTGTAATTGAATTTATCTGTATGGAATTATTTAAGCATTAAATACAGTCTCAAAATGTATTTGTCCTTTAAGCTTCGGGAAGAATGGAATGGGGGATGAAAATACATGAAATAATGTTGTTTTTGAACATGTAATTTATTCCAAAAAGAGACAATTTCTCCATAGTCCAAAGGATTTACATTTCATAGCATGTTCATTGACAATGATGCAACAGTTTTACCAAGCATTGAAAATATACAATGTAAATTTGATCTTAAAATAACTTCTGGATGATGCAGAAATGTTTGGATGAAAGACCTTTTTAATGCCTTGTAAATTACTGTAGGTATTACCTTGTTACAAAATTAATTTACAAAGAAATAACCAGATGTACTGATAATTTCTCTGGCAATATACTGTGTGCTACAGATTGTCTGTATTTTCACCCTGCGATCAAAATGGACTTCATATTTCAAATCTCCTAGCATTGTAGAAGTGAGTTTTTTGACGGGTGCATTGGAGATTTCAGCCGTGATTTGGAGATGGGCCCTGATAGTCCCGGCAACACATACAATAGCCTACAATGAAATGATTTGAGCTTTTTATTTGGTAATACACAGTAACTCTGTTTAGGGTCTGAGCCGCAACTCTCTCAAATTTGCTTTAAAATTCTTCCCACACAAAAGTTTAGTCTTTGATCTATGGTCAAAGTCGACTGCACCGTGTGTGTCTAGACGCCCTGGTTGACCCCGCTGACCTGACTGTAGGATTCATTCATTTATTACTGGTGATTGGTTATGAAATAAAGGAATGGGGTGGTCACTGAACCAGGCCACGGTCAGAGGAGACTTTATTCTAGTTTGAGTCTTGTGACATAATCCACGGCCTCCAGGAGCTCTTGGAGGGCCATTGCATAAGTCCTCCTCCGCATAAGGAATTCAAGAGTGGAATCATGTACATTGGACTTTGTTTGCTGCGTGTGTGATTGTGTGTGTGTGCGGGTGTGTGTGTTTGTGTGTGTGTGTAGGAGTGTGTATGCTCATCAGATGACGTGTGTTTGCAGTGCCCCCCTATATCATCGAGTCCAGATGTGAGCTCCGACTTACAGACAACTCACTTTCAGAGCGGACTGTCACCAGAGCAGCAGCAGGTAAGCATCTCATTGAGAAGTTTCTTGAATTTACAGCAGTTTCAGTCCACAACATTTGCTAATGAAATCCTTTTTTGTGTTGTTGTTGCAGACATGAATGCCAAAATTACCTTTGCGGTCTTCCTCGCCCTGCAGGGTAAGCTGACCAAACGGTGCAAACCTGGTCTTTGATGAATACAGACCTTATTTTATGTGCATTTTTCATGTATAGATGAATGTAGCATATCACTAATGAATTGCATGTACTACATCATCTGACATTAATATACAATATTTTTGTAGCAACTTTACTTTCTTTGAGACAATCATTGAAGTTGCTGTTTCCATAAGTCAAATTTTGAATGTAGAATTTCTGCATTTTACAAAAATTTGGAAGAAGAAATTATTTCAAGCGGTTTTCAGACACATTTCCAGAAGGAGTTATTGTTTTACTTCTAATTCATTTTAAGCGTTAGTTTGTGATAAATTGGTATAACTTTTTTCTACAATTGAATGGACTTGTGCTGCCTTGTCTCCAGTCTCCTTGAGCCTGTGCGAAATCCCAACACCTGACGCCGAACTCATGGACAAATACAATGACCTGAAGAACACATTCTTCAGAAGGCTCACTAACGCCTACGGCAAGCTCACAGCAGCCGCCAACGCCAACGAGAACACTCAGGCTGCCCGCGACGCCATCACTGAGCTGCAGAACAGGGAGCAGGTCGGAGTGGCCATGCAAGTCTTCAAGTGAGTCATACACACAATGTATCACACAACAAAAGTCCTGCACATGCAAAGTCCATATGTCAAAGCAATGCAGACAGATTAACATGTTGTTTGTGTAGGGCTGTTGGTGAGGAGATGGAACCAGTTGTAGACAGGGTTCGTTCTGCTGCTCTGGGTACCTACGGTACATACCTGCGTCCCTACATCGGCGAGTACCTGCAGGACGGCATAACCCGCGCCAAGGCCATCCTGGATCAAGTCCTGCCAGTGGAGAACTAAGTCTAGTCCAAAGCACACCATCTGTAACCCACCAGTAGCAGAGTAGATCCTAGAAACTATGCCGCTCAGTTATGAGGAGCAATGCACAACGTTGGTGTGGTCCTCTTCTGACCCATTCACAGCAGAAGGAAGCCAGACTTGTGTCCCAAACTGATGCTTATGCGTTGTGCATGAACAGTGCCCTGTGTTTGATACACTAACAAACTCTGTGAGTGATTGTTTATGTATATGTGTGTGAGTGTGTTCAATAAACTGAACTGAAACTGTGCAATGCTGTCTGATTACCTCATGATACATCAGTATTACTTTGAGAGAGTAGCAGTACTTCAGATGTCCTACCAGAAAACTTCTGGTTGATGATCCTTTTGTCATATCTTTGTTTGGGGTCACTTTAAATGTTATTATTCTTGAAAGGACATATATAAATTTGAGGAAAACAAAGAGATGTTGTTAATGTGGTCAATTAGTTCAAAGTGGAGACATATTTTTATTGGCCTTGATGTACAGTGGCCCATTCTCCACACTCTAATGTTACACTGTGTTAGCTAAAAGGCCAATGGATGAATAGAAAACCCTTTTCTATGACTTTCACACTGCAGAAGAGGCATATAGATGATTTAAGAAGCTGAAAAAACTGTCTTTCTTTAGAAAAAAGTTAATTCTGCTTGTCATCAGATCATTTGATGATTCAAACTTTTGAACGTTGTTAGTTTTACAGTCACATATGTTTCATGAGGCATGAACATTTGGGTCAGTGCTAATCCAGGTGGATTAGTTTTGGGACCAATTTAATCTTAGCCAATAATCTTCAAATAGTTGTGTTCATAAACAATTACATGGATAATCCTAAATACACTGTACGTTTATTTGTGAGTCCCTTAATAGCCTTTGAGTGTAATCCCAGTTCAATGTCCAATAATTGAACAAATCGGAGTTGCCAAAAAAAGACCCAGTAGACCCAGCTGTCCTGGAGAAGAACACCTCAGAGGATGGAGGATGTGTGAGTGGATTGGGAAGTCTGGGGATAAAGGTAAATGAGAGAATTAGGTATATTTCAGATTGTTTGATCATCTATAAAACACTGTCAAAGCCACATTGTGATCGCCACATTTAAACAAAAAGGAAAGGACCAGGATTATTCTATGCAGCAGCTCTATCTAGTGGAAGAAAGGAGAAAACCATGTATGAGGTACAGAGGTGCAGCTTGGGTCCTTATCGATCCAAGCATGAGTTACAATAGGCAAGACAAAATATGTTGCTTTCTGCACTTTTTAGTACAATACAATACAATACAATGTATTCTTGTATAGCCCTAAATCACAACAGTAGTCATCTCAGAGGACTTAACAAAACCATTGAAATCACCAACACAGATCAGAGAATCAACAGTTAAGACACAAAAAGCACATTGATAAATGTCATACATGTTGTAGAATGTTAAAGTGTCCTGGATCATCACCACAGTCCTTTTTGTTAGACACTAACTGCCCAACAGACTCCTGCATCAGAGGAAACACTCTAAAACCCAGTGGGAAAAAGTGGGAAACCTCGAAGAGACACACATTGAGAGAGGGATGCGCTCCACACGGACGAATGGACTATAGATCCAGGACCTGAGCTACAAAAATGGTCAGGATTGTAATATCTAGACAAATGCAGTGTATCGTGTTAGTTATTCTCTCTTTCTTCTCCTGAAATACTGAAGCATAACAAACAATAAGTGACTATTGTCTCAATAGGAACTTAATTTAGTTAGACCTCTGGTGTTATTATCATTTGAACAATAATGATGATACTATGATTCTTTTTTTGTTTTTTGTTGTCACTTTTCAAAGGAAATCTTCCTCCTGTGGACTCAGCACCTGCAGGAGGATCAGTGAGGGGCTGCTCTTTGAATTGGGTGCAGCTCTGACTGCCACCCCCAGACCCAGAAATGGATGGATGGATCAAAGGAAATTGATGATGCAGTGTTTTTAACCCAGTCAAACAAACAACATGTGTGGATATATACTTATATTGATTTATACCCCAAATATTACTACATCATTTTATACTTGTGAAAAGAGAGCAGTGTCACGTCGTTTGGGGCTCACTTTGCAACCAAGTGTTTGATTTAAGTTTTACATGTGTGCTGTAGAAACCTAAACAAAGTCGGCCTCTGCTGGAGAAATCCAACACCAAAATACTGTGCAAAAGTTGCCCTTTGGAATTATCCTTAATTGACGTCATTGCCACTGTAAACACATTTATTGGCATTTTGTATGAAAGACCAGCACAAAGTGGCAGCCGATTGTTAAAGGTATACAGGGGGATTTTCCCCATTTTTAAGATACTTTTTGAACAAATATCTGGTCTTATTTGACGACCACATATCACCAGAATGGTAAACAATTGGGAGGACCAATAGTGTAAAGTTTTATTTGACTTTATTTTGTATCTTTATGACTAAAAGTCACATTGTCAAATATCAACTAAACTTGAGTTTAATCTAATCTTGGTATAATTACATATATGTAATGATAACCTTCATCAAAAACATTTATACTAAGCAAAAAAAAGTCAAAAGTAAAATAATTTCATTTCTTTCACTGCACAATTATCCGTCACTTTGTAAATAAACAGTATGAATACTTACCCACTTTGTGTTGGTCATTCACATGTGTTGAAAGCAAATATCAAAAAATATGAGGAACTGACTAGTTTTGAATGAAAACTCTTTCAATGTGTAATCCCATGAACCTCCAACAAGTCGATGTATTGGCCGACTACGTAATCCCAATAATCCCAATAATCATAAATAATCACAAGGAAAAACAGCCCTGAGTGACGACTGCTGCCCTGACCCCAGGCACAGCTGTGGTCACATGACTGTGAGAGTCTCTAACATGGATGGAAACAAATGCTTTGCTTAATGTGCTTTAAATAAGTTTGTATCTTTGAACAAACTACTCTCTCATGATGCAGTTGGACTTTGTGTTTGATTCTAGTAGTAGCTCTTTGACATTCCAGCATGAAGCATGACGCTGATGTTTCGTAACCCCTGCTGGCCTGGTGACGTGTTCATCAGTCTCTAGACTTTAGGGCTGTCCCACTGGGACTTAGGACTGCTGTAATGATACATCCATGAAGCAGCAGCGTTATGCAAGTCTCAAACTGATGAGACGGGACAACCTCAGATAGTGGACTTCTCTTGAAGACATGGACAATAATGTTGGGTAGCTTTATTCATTTTTTCATTTTGCATCAAGGATTAATTAGATAAAACACAATATGAAGACATGTATGTAATAAGTATAAGCAGAAACCTGGAATACGTTTTACAGAAAACAAAATGGTAATAGATAAGAGCAAACCAATGAATAAGAAAAACATCAATATCATCAATATCAATCAATATTCTTAAAAAAAAGACGAGAAATGAAGACATATTTTTAGTTTAGATTAGTTCATGTATTTAATTTAATCAATCAAAATAAAATATATAAATCAGATGTTAATTATGAAGCGCATAAAGAAAATGCAACACAACGTCCTTTGCTGTTTGATTAAAAACAATCCCACATGTCCATGACCCCATGACCCCGACCACACAACAGACCCACCCCAAACCACATTAATAATATGATCAGAACAGAACATGTGAATCAGCAACAGCTTCAACAAAAATATACCGGAATAAGCACAAAATCAAGATTGGTTAAAATCTTCTGGAACACATGCCGTCAAAATGCAAACAAAATGTATATTTAGTAAAAGCTTACATTTACACTTCACCCTGTGAGCGCTGCTTCAGAATCTACCAATCATAAAACCCCACACAAAAATTGAAATCTTGTGCACAGGTTTTTTAATTCTTCTTATCACGCTTATACTGCTTTCAAATTCATGCTGTGACGACGATCACTTGGATTCACCAAATAACAATAGACCAGAATTGCGAGAGAGTGGTTGACCGGCAGTGACTTTGTTGATTTAGTGTCCGATACTGTGTTTTTAATCTTGATCCAGAGTGGGTGCATGCATCACAAACTGGACAAAAGAGCACATTTATCTCCGGCCCAGTGCACTTTGGCTCTGGAGACAACAAGTCAACACATCCCAAGTCCTATAAAATCAGCCCTCTCCGCGGTGGCTCTGCGTCTGTCTCTGCTGCACAGGACACCGTGAGTACAAACACCCGCATACCGCTTTAATATTCACACATTTATTTAGTTTAAGTAAAAAAAACGGTCTTTCATAATCGTCTGCTGTTAGTTGCTGTATTGTCTTATGCAGGAGACTTTTAAATGGGGGGGGAAATATGTGTTTCCTGTATTGATTTGTTCAGTGCAGTGTTGAAAGTTGTTATTGTTTGATGAGAGAGAATGTTGAATTGGTTGTAGAAAACAGTAATAAAGAGAGAGAGAGAGGAATTAATTGTAAATACACTATGAGACAGTAACGCAGCCAAAACAATCCTCTCCAACGTCTTACAGCTTACTCAAAGTGCATTTGATTTAGAAGAAGCAAGATGTTTTGTTAGCCATCCTCCACTGTATATTATAGTTTTATAGATGTCTTTCCCCTTTGTAAACAGAAAGCTTGATTACGCCCCTGCTTAAGGAAGCTGAATGGGATCCCAATGACAGCTAAAATATTGTTTAAATTATTGGTTGATGTCGCCCCCTTGTGGCAGAAACTAAGAACAACAACCAGAAGGTTTTTTGGTTTTTGAAAGTCAGGGGTGAGTAGACAAGAAATATCCCTCAGGCATTAAAAAAACACATACTTATTTTGGAAAAAACTCAAGTAAAAGGAATACCTGGATGTCATTTATCTGTGTTATCATCTGAAGACATTGTAATTCAGAGGGATAAACATGAACGAATGCATATTTTCAAAAAGAAACAAACTAAATACATATAAAGGAGTGGAACTAGTAATACATTTGTTACAATATTATCAACAGTTATTATTCAACATTTTTGGCACAAGTCTCACATTGGGCACTCTATGCACTCTATGCACTCTATAACTACTACTACTACTAATACAACTCTATAAAAGTACAATTTATCTACTATGTCAGACACGTATTCAAATAGTAAATGTAGTTGAATACCCATACCCAATAACTGTTTTTTATCCCCTCTCCACAGAACTTTACCATCATGAACAAGCTTCTGGTTATCACTGTGCTCGCTGCCCTGCTGGCAATCAGTGAGTCACAGTAAATAGTCTTTGTTTTTGTTTTCCCCTGAGCATTGCCCTTTTCCCCTTGCTGACCCCCTTGCTGTTGTTGTTTTGGTGCAGATGTGGAGGGCTTCCGTGTGTCCAGGCAGGCGGCGGAGGAGGCTGAGCAGGAGGAGCAGGGCACTCTCTCAAAGATGACCAACGCATTCAGGGGTTACTACGAGAAGTCAATCAACACAGCCAGCGGATATCTGGAAAACGTCAAAGGCCTCAAGCTGGAGGAGAAGGCAAAGTAAGGGACTGTGCGACACACACGCATCATACACTGTGCAATACATACACGTCATACACTGTGCAATACATACACATCATACACTGTGCAATACATACACATCATACACTGTGCAATACATACACATCATACACTGTGCAATACATACACATCATACACTGTGCAATATAGTCAACATAGACAGTGCAATATATCATGGACAGAAAAACTGTCTTGACTGGCATCACGCTGTTCTGAGCTTCATGATTAACTATAACAGAGCTGAAGTTGGCTCAATGACAAATGACGTATTGGGCTTTAGAACAAGGTCTACATTGGCTGAGCTGAAGTTGGATGGATGATACATTCAACTTTATGTTTATGATCTCATAGACTACTTTGGGTCAGCAAGGCAGATAAAAATACCGCAATTGGCCCCCGGGCCTGAGTTTGGACATGTCGCCTGACATAGACGGTGCAATATATACAACATAGACTGTGCAATATATACATGTACATCATGGACTGGGCCTGGTGCAGGAGGAGGAATAGGTCTTCACAACCGCAACCTCAATCTTCATTCATGACCAGGTCGGCAAACTCGGAGCTTGGACAATTTTGAATGGAGACTTTTGAAAAAGCTTACGTACAGGGGAAACTTGGAAAACTAGAATATAGAACCAAAATAGGACAAAAACTCAGTACATAAAAGTCAAGTCCGGGCATGATCAGGGTCGAAACTCGCCGCAGTGTCCCCACAATGATAAAGGATTTTGATTTGAAGTCGGAGTGCCTCAGACCCTTTGCTCTTTGTTTTCCATTTCATTTTCCCAAACATTCTTGAAGAGCACCTGACACACTTTTACACAACATTTCCTGATCCCCGTCTGCACTCAATCCTCTTGTATTTTTGCTGATCCAAAATATACAGAACTGCTTGTTCCAATGAAATAATAATATTAAAAACAACTTTCATTCATTCATTCATTTCATTTCATTCATTTTCAACCCCTTTATTGTCCATTTCTGGGTCAGGGGGGTGGCAATGAGAGCTGCCACCCAGTGCTCATAGCACCAGTCCCTCGCTGATCTTCTGCAAGGGGTGAGTCCACAGGAAGATGGCTACTCCATCAGCGGTGAAACAGCCTTGGTCTTTCAGCGGGGGCTTCAGGCAACGTGGGGTTAAGTGTCTTGCCCAAGGACACAACGACAGTAGACATCAGTGGGAGCAGTTGGAGTAGGTCCCATGGTGGGAATCGAACTACTGTCGCCCCTGGTTCCCCATGTAGGGGACGTATCAGATATTAAACTGATAAGAACAGATACTACACATGATCTTAGCCAAAAGGCCGAGAAGTTTTATCAACTTTGATAAATAAAGTTCATAAAACAACTTTATTTATCAAAATAAAACCCCAGTTGTTGCAAACAAAAGCCAAAGAGAACACTTATATGAAAGTTGTAATTGATTTCTATCTTAACAATGGCCATGTCTGCTACCAGGAATCTTTCATAGTGTTGCTTACAAGGATACAAAGTCCATTATTATTTTCAATTAGTGATATTCAGATATTATTCACTATGTCTGCTTTCCGTTTCATTTGAAAAGTTAGAGAACCCTATATTCTAGCTCTTTTCTCAAAAAAATCCTGGGGGACTCTTTGAAAATCTTTGTTAACCCGTTCCATAGATGTGTATTAATGTGATTTAACTTGTCTCCCGCAGGAACTTCTATGACGAGAGCACTAAAGTTATGAGCACATACGCTGGAATCGTGCAAGACCAGATTTACCACATCTTCACTCAACAGCAGTAACCACCACCACCACCGTCTATTCTCCAACCGTGTGGACTTATTTCATCCTGGACACGACACAACGCACAACCTCTCCAGCTCTCAGGAAACGTGTGTCCTCTGAGATCCAGGCTGAAACTGCAGACACTGGATTCAAATAGCTTGCAATGAGAAACTGACCACTTTGCAGCAGTTGGATTTCACTGTAAGAAAACAGCCAGCTTTGAAAAAACATTTCCATTAGTCCTATTAAAATATATCACATCAAATATCACATCTGTCAGGGAGTTTAATGTTTGTCATAACTTGAATAAAATATTTATACACACATATAATGGGCCTCCATGCTTGGGTTATTCAGTTGTTGCGGTGCATATGGCAAAGCTTTCATCTCAGGAAATAATTCTTCATGTTGGATTGGAGTTTCAGTGAGTGAGGCCCCCATGGAACTGCAGTGTCTGTTGTAATTAATAATAGATAAAAAGAGACAGCATGTAAATGGAAAACCCACAGAGATGAATAAACAAGAGGGGGAGTGAAGTTTGTTTTGCAGGCCACGATGTCTGTCTGATGAATGAATATAAGAAACTGTGTGATCTGCTCTGAAGATACACAAATACTTTGAAGTAAGGTCTGATTCAGTATCAAAGCTGTACAAAAACACGCCATATGCTCTGGTGTGTTTGATTTGGTCCCTGAGTGATACAGCTGTTTAGACTATAGACAACTGTGTACTGGTTATAACCACAAATTATAGTGATTTAGAGTCAGGTTCACATGAAGTTTGCATTTAAGTTAAAGTTTAATTTATTATGGACAATGTGCAGTTACATTAAAAAAGATGGCTGCACTAGATTTAGCACCAGCTACTTTCCACCTGTAGTCCCCGACAATACAATCATATAACACACATTAACAAACAGTTCAAATAAAAAATGCAGGGGACAAACTTACATATTAAAATACAGTTCAATAAAAGTGCAAAAAAGTTACTAAAATACATACATTTTTTTTATTCAACCTTTCTTTAACCAGGAAAGTCCCCTTGAGATTGAGAACCTCTCTTTCAAGTGAGTCCTGGACTAAAGTCACAGTTAAAGTACAGATAACATATTAAAATACAGTTGAATACAAAAATGCAAGTTACAAACATATATATTAAAATATGGTTAAATAAAAAGTAACAAAAATAACCAAAAGTTGAAAGGTAAACAACAATAATATTTATTAGATCATAATGGATCATACTGTACGTAATGAGGTTATCTACGCCAAGCAGACGTCAGGACTGAGAAAAGATAACAGTGTCTTCAGATAACCTACTTTACAGGTCTGATCACCCGGAAACAATGTCTTATTTGTTTATGGTTACAAGCTGAATAGTGTGCACTTGGGCAGGGATATCTCTGTCATTATGTGGCAGAGGAAATGTACCATGAGCTGTGTCATCAACAATAATATACAAGGTTGGCAAAGTGGCGCCTACAGGGGACTGTCTAAAATCTTGGTATTTGGTTCCGCTGTAAGTTTAGATTTGCCTTATTCCCGACCCAAACTTTATCCAAATCAGCTGTTCCTAACCCCAACCGTAAAAGTAGTTACTTAATTGAGACATATAAAACTGCAGAACACAATTTCCCATAGCTTCACACTAATACAGGTTTTAAAAAGGAGTTGGATGAAGCGGGCACTTATTTTTTACCAACCAAATGTGGCAATACCATTATTTTTATTTTTTTATTACAGATTTATTTATTGAAATAAAAATCCCTGAAGCTGTATACTGTTGTTGCAAAGGGGCGTGTCTGTCTTGCCTTGTTTGCCACTTACTCATTCTCCTGGATACATTTTTGTTTTCCTGCAACATGCCAAAGAAAAACATTTGTTAAAAAGTTGTTATTGATCTCTGTTTCAACAAAGAGCGTGTCTGTGACCAAGAATCTTTCACACTGCTGCTTAAAAGAGTGCAAAGTCCACTCATATGTATCAAATAAGTGATTCAACTGCTCTGTTGTTGCCAGATAATATTCACATTGGATTAATCAGGGCACACCTTTATGGAAAACATTAACTTTTTAGTGTGCACAAAAGGCTTATTCATTGTGTTGTGGTACACTTTGTTTTTCTACTAAGGTGACATAATAACACGAATGAGCTATTTGGAAATCTAAATGTACATCTGAAGAAACATAAAAAATACAAGGTAAACAAATCTATTTTTGGTATGACATTAAACATTGGATCTGCTAAATTTCCCGCTAGGAAGGATAGGTGTTGAAATAGTCCTGATAAAGCTTAGCGGGAAATTGCACAGCTGAGGTGATAAAAATCCACCCATGGTACTTTTAACAGGTATAAGTAACAGCAAAGGCGACTGCTAATCACTACTGACTTTTCACAGAATGATGAAGCGTCTCTTGATTCTGGCTGTTTTGGGGCTTGTTGGTAAGTACTGCATTCACCATAAATATTAAATATGACTATTACTTGGGTTGCAATTCAGTGGAATACTTTACTGATTTGTTTCACTTCAGCACCTCGGACAGCGCACTCTATGTTTAGGGATTTGTAACTATAAAGCAATTGTTTCGGAGGAATTCGACAAAACATACAACTAACAGATGTTTTTTTAATTTGTTTCATTTATTTATTTATTTGACAGGGACAATGTAGTCATACATAGTTACATTATGAAAAGGCAGCTGATGCGACACATGCAGAGTGTATAGCTAATGCTAATTTTCAACTCCTGTCCCTGGGTTGAGCTTTTCCCTACCCTAAGTTAGTTTTATATATAAACATATACAGTATAAATGTGTTTTACTTTTAGACAAATATGGTATGGACTCTAACTGACAACAATATTTTGATAATTAATGTATTAACACTGAGTGGTATTTCAGTCTTGTCACTGCTGTTTGTTGTTGTCACATGCAGGCGTTGTGTCGGGGGAGGAAAGCAGAGAGTGTCCGCCTCACTCCAGACCCTGGCAGGTGCGGCTACACGGAGGAGGGTCTTCGAGCTGCAGTGGGGTCCTCATCAGCCAGTGGTGGATTGTCACATCCTTCACCTGCTCTCCTGTGTATGTTTGGACTTCTAATTCTGGGCATAATGCTGAGGGTCAAACTTGATCCATGAACAAGTACAGCCGAGGAACCCAAGTTTGGTGCTTTTAGTCATTTCCACTGCAATTTTGGCCTCTGCAACATCTATATTTTAGAATCAGCTTTTTCAGACAGAAAAGCGAAAATAAGAGGACCACTCTGCTCTCAAACTAAAACGTCAAATTAAATGTTTTATACATATTATCATCGAGACACCATTTGTGATCTGATCTTGCTATCTTTAATTTCCTCTGAATAAATCTTCAGATATTACCAATGGACATGACGAGCCCACTCATAGTCAGATTTTTGAGCAGAACAAAACAGGGCCAGGCGGCATGGTCAGGATATAAACATCAATCCTCACCTACTTTAGAAGTTTAATAAACAATCAAACTTGTGCCGTTTCATGTGAGTTGCTCCTCTCTTGTCTCCTCAGCTCTTTCAGCACCGTGGCCTCTCTGGGGGAACACGACCTGGGGGCCGTCGAGGGCACAGAGCAGCACATCCCGGTGGCGGAGGTGATCCCCCACAGTCCGTACCGCTCCCCCCTCCACAGCCTCACCCTGGTGCGCCTCTCCCGTCCCGCTCTCCTCACCCAGGCCGTCCAGCCCCTCCCTCTGCCCAGCCAGTGCCCCAAGCCCGGGGACTCCTGCTCCGTCAGCGGCTGGGGCTCCACCACACCAAACCAATGTAAGTGGGTTTAAAGAAGTGTGGGACAGATTTTACATGATGGTCTAGTTTTAGTTTTTAGGTTATTTAGTGAAGTGATTATGGAGTTGAAAGAATTTGTTATTTAACATTGCTAAAATTAAAAACATAGTGTCTAAGGCAGACTTGGAGACTCTTATACACGCTTTTGTCTCCAGTCGGTTAGACTATTGCAATGGCTTGTTCACAGGTCTCTCCAAACAGGCTGTAAAACAGCTGCAGTATATTCAAAATGCAGCAGCTCGAGTCCTGACCAGAACTAGGAAGTGCGACCACATTAGTCCAGTTCTCAGGTCTCTGCACTGGCTTCCTGTTCCTCAGAGAATAGACTTCAAAGCAGCTTTACTTGTGTACAAGTCTCTCCATGGTCTCGCGCCAAGGTACATCCACGACATGTTTGTGCCATATGAGCCGACCCGGACTCTGAGGAGCACAGGGACTGGACTCCTGTTAGTGCCCAGAGTCGGTACTAGACATGGGCAAACCGCATTTCAGATTCATGCGGCTAGAGTCTGGAACCGTCTTCCTGAGAATGTGAGACAGGCGTCTACTCTGGCATCTTTTAAATCTAGGCTCAAAACAATTCTGTTTAGCTGCGCATATACAACTGAATGATTTTATCTTTTCATCTTTGTTTTTATCTTTAATCTTTTTAATGCACTGTGACTATTTATGATTTTAGTCCCATCTGTGATTTTAATGTTTAAAGGTTTTTAATTTTTGTGATTTTATTTTTAATGTTTTTAATATATCTTGTGCTCTTAATGTGTTTGATTTATGCATGATGTGATAGGGGATGTGAAGCGCTTTGCGTTGCCTTGTGTAGGAAAGGCGCTCTACAAATAAACGTTGATTGATTGATTATTAATGATAATAATAATAATTATTATTATTATTATGATTGTCAATCGTGAAGCAAAATCTCCAAAACAATTACATCAATGGCATTTCAATAACACATAGTAGGTCATAGGTAATAAATTGAGGATTATTCAGTTTGTGAAGTCAACTCTGTAATGATGCTAAACGCTGAGAAACAGTGTTTTGTAAGTTGTATTTGATGCAGTCCAGCAGAGCAATAAATAATAATAAACTGGACCCCTGGAAGAGTCTGCTCTGCTGGAGACTAATGAGAATCCTAAATATACACATGATTTAAATAATAATGATAATTCCGCTTTCATGGTCAGAGATGATCTTGTCCACTTATCTCCAGTGGTAATTATATGTGCGAGATTAAATCAAATAAATGCAAACAGTTTAAACAAGATGTTGCAGTGACACAGTGGCCTTGAGAATGTTTATGCATTAGGAAGTTTGTGTAAGCCCTCAGTCGTACAGGGATTAGTCAAAGCAAAGGAAGGTTTCTCACCCATCATCTGTACTTCTTAGCAAGTTTTCCCGACGTTTCGTCCTCAACCTAGCGGACTTCTTCAGGGAATGAATTCTCGGACCGCTCGTTGGAGATTTATAACCTATGGGTGTGGTTAGCCACACCCTAATCCTGATACTAACTCATAAACAATCTACGGTCTGCTTGATGTAGAAGGGAGCAGATATAACGACCCTGCTGAGGCTAACGACCCTAACTCCTTAGCATGTCACAGACCTATTGTCTGCTGGGATGCTCAAGTGGAGTGCAGGTCTCACCCCTCCTAACTCATTAGCATGTCACTGACCATGTCCCAAGTTAGGGCGTTGTTTTTAGGATGTCGTCATAGATGCGAGGCAAAACAAATCTTAACCCTCCTCCTCTGTTAAGAGAAGGTTTTTGTTTCCTCACAAAAATGGCTTCTTTCACCCCTCTCTCAAACCAATTCTTCTCCCGAGCCAGAATTTTAACCTCTGTGTCATCCACCGTGTGGTTGGAGGCCTTGAGTGCACTCCTCTTCACTACATTTAATTGAATACACCACATTGCTCTGTTTGTGTCTGGGTGTTTTGTCTTTGGGATGCTTTGGGAAGACAGAAATTAGTGCATCCCAAAGACAAAACACCCAGACACAAACAGAGCAATGTGGTGTATTCAATTAAATGTAGTGAAGAGGAGTGCACTGACCACTATATTGGAGAAACCAAACAAACTCTACAGAAACGACTTTACCAACATCGTAGAGAAAACTCTAGTGGGCCACAGTCGGCTGTTCATCTCCACCTCAAGGCCTCCAACCACACGGTGGATGACACAGAGGTTAAAATTCTGGCTCGGGAGAAGAATTGGTTTGAGAGAGGGGTGAAAGAAGCCATTTTTGTGAGGAAACAAAAACCTTCTCTTAACAGAGGAGGAGGGTTACGATTTGTTTTGCCTCGCATCTATGACGACATCCTAAAAACAACGCCCTAACTTGGGACAAGGTCAGTGACATGCTAATGAGTTAGGAGGGGTGAAACCTGCACTCCACTTGAGCATCCCAGCAGACAATAGGTCTGTGACATGCTAATGAGTTAGGGTCGTTAGCCTCAGCAGGGTCGTTATATCTGCTCCCTTCTACATCAAGCAGACCGTAGATTGTTTATGAGTTAGTATCAGGATTAGGGTGTGGCTAACCACACCCATAGGTTATAAATCTCCAACGAGCGGTCCGAGAATTCATTCCCTGAAGAAGTCCGCTAGGTTGAGGACGAAACGTCGGGAAAACTTGCTAAGAAGTACAGATGATGGGTGAGAAACCTTCCTTTGCTATGCATTAGGAAGTAGGAAAAGTTCTTTGGACCCGGTTTAAGAAGACCACTGAATAAAAGCAGGTTAAAAAGAATATTTTATTGTAAAACCCATAAATAACAAATAAAAGCAATAAAAACCTATGATGAAATACAGGGGACTGAAATAGATTAAAAATACAAACTAAAATTAGGGCTATCATTTTTTCGTTTTTTGCAGTGATAGCAACGTGTGCGGCTATGTGGAAAGAGCCAATAAAAGACTGAGTTGACATTATAGTACTGAGCCAGATGGTCAAAACAGAAGCATATTTGTGTCGACACAGCGATCACTACCTGCAGTAATTAATATTCTGTTCATTGCAGCTGAAACAGGAAGTCATACTTTTTCATTTCATTTAATAGCTGCTAAAAGAGGCACGCTTTAATCAGGGCTGTTTTGAAATTGGACGTCAAATTATACTGAGACTAATTACAAGAAGTCGAGCATGAAAATGGTGTTCACCCAAAGTCCCGATAGAGCCAGAGAGGACACATAATAATGGGAAAGAATTCAAATCAGGCAAAAGTGGAAAAGTTGGTGAGGTTTATCAAAATCTAACATGAATAGTTTCCATGGCTGTTTTTCAGATGAGTCTCCTGAGCGGCTGAAGTGTCTCCGTGTCCCCATCGTGGACGACCGCTTCTGTGAGAGCACTTTCCCTACGTACATCTACTGGAGCCTGGGGATGGTGTGTGCAGGGAGCGCCAGCACCGACAACTGCCTGGTAAGACCTCCAATCACACTTTGATAAGAATATTCTGGTGAAACTCTGAAAATTAGAATGTCGTTCAAAAGTCAATTTACTTCTGTAATTGAACTTAAAATGTAAACTAAGATAACTCATCCAAAAGTGAGACTTATCCGGCCTATTTATTTGTAAAGCACAGTTCAAACAAAACAAGATGGAGACAATCACACAAGGCATTCAAAACACAATCACTGTACAGTAAAAATATTAAATACCTCAGTTATTTGCACAGCTAAACCGTTTTTAAAATGGCTTTGAACAGTGTCAGAGATAATAAAGTGGATAATTGTCTGAGCTCGTTAAACCCCCAACTAGAACTTATCAATAAATCAGAACATTTTGAAAATGGACAATAATAATCGTCAAAATGACAAAATGACAAGTCTTGCCTAAAGTCACATTGCATGTAATTTCTATCTCACATATTGGTTTCCTACTGTATTTAAAGTTGATTTACTGAAATAAATGCATTTACAACAGTATAATTCCTATGATTCTTCTTTCTCCTGTGTAATAACAACAGCTCAAATATGCAAAAGTTCCCAGATTGGATTTAAATCAGATTCTGTATTTTATGTAACAATTTTTTACCTAAGATGTCTGATGGACACGATATGAGGAGAATAGTACAGAAACAAGTGTTGAGAACTGAAGACAGAGGCAGCAGCGACCGCACCTGTCTGTAACCCAATGAAGTTCCTCCAGATCAAACAAAACAAAACATTTTTTTGATGATTTGAATCAATGTGCATAAGACCAGAGGCATCATTTAGATACTGATGACAATGTGGATCCGAAAAAACACGTTCAGTTCTTCAGACAATAATGTTTAGCAGTAATACAGATGTAGCGGGGGTCCACAGTACAAAACAAGAAGGTCAGATTCTACACCAGGCAATATCTTTTAAAATGACATTTTAAAACCTTTGTAAATAGAAAGCAGGGTCACTTCTCCACACAACTGGGGCTCAAGTGACCAAATAAATAATTAAGCAATATTGTGTTAAGTTTAATTAAAAAAATATATCAAACAATCTCTAGCCATCAAAAATAATCATAGAGAGACAAAGTTTTGGACCACTGCCAACCAGAGTTTTCCCGTTGATAAATTACTATAAAAATCTTTAACGATGTCATCCCTTGTGGTCATCGTTGCGTTGGCTACAGCTAACCTCTCCTCTCATGTCCGCAGAGGGACAGTGGGGCGGTGCTGGAGTGCAACGGGCAGCTCCAGGGGGTCCAGTGGTTCGGACACGGCTGCAGTGACCCCGCCCATCCCTCTGTATACACCAAACTGTGCCGATACAACCGCTGGATCAACGACATCATGGATCAATACACGCCTTTTGAGACCACTACATCACCTCCAAGAACCACAGCAGCACCACAACACTGATGATGTCATTATTTTTATCATAAAAAGTACCGTTTTTGTTAGAAAGGATAGGAATACTTGAGAACAAATAGTTGATAAGTATTGAATGAATGAAAAATCTTCAGACGTTAAAAGTTTCTTGCATTATGGAACTCTCTCCCACATTTCCAAAACTGCCTTCACTTATCTGCATGGTTGAGCTTTATATTTTAGTTTTTTATGAACTCATCCTTTTATAAAGCATCTTTGAGTGTCCAAAAAGTACTATATAGGCACGATGTGTTATTGATATTATCATGAAACACTTTCTATACAGATGGCTTCCTCCAAATGTTTCCCTATGTTTTTCTCTTATTGATTTATGTTATTGATGTTAGTATTTCTCGATTTCTTATGAAGGTGTTAAGACAACCGAAAACATTTCTATAAAAATGAATAAATACATTTGGAAGTGCTTAAAGGGTTAAAATATTTAAATTTGATCCATTCTGTTCCATCATGTGCTTATGATAATGTAATGGCCTCTTTATTATGAATGTTAAAATGGTGCTAACAACGGTGAAAAAATGACAAAACACGACTTTTATGCATGTACGGAGACGCATAAGTATAATAAATGTGCATATAAATAGTTTCTCATCTTTTGTATATTTGCATTTAAAGGGTGCACTGACCAGAGTTTTGAAATACCACGGATAGTAAAGTGTGTCTTAAAACAAAAACAATTGTAGCTCTTAGAAACACAAATGAGCTTTATCACATTTTTTGCTGTCTACAGACCGCCTGCACTTGTTCTCATGCAGATAGTTTTATTTGCTTGAGGGCTTTCACATCAGGGGGTCCTAAAAAAATCCTGTCCAAAATCCCCCCCTCTCTCACAACTGTGTTATTTTCAACGGGGCTAAAGAAATTATTCAAAGGCTTCAAGCTGTACATAACTTTCAATCCACAACATATGAACCATATCTACAGTTCTTGCAGCTGTAGATGTGTATACTGCACCTGTATAAAAACTACACCACGATAGATGTTACGAGAAAGTACATTCACTGTACTTGTAAGTCTCGCTGCTGTTCACATAAACACACTGAAACAGGAAGGTTAGATAAACTACTGTAGATAGGGCCCTTTCTTCGCCCCAGGGGAACTATAACAAAACAAAAACACATAAATTATCTACATCTCTATATAGGTCGAAGAGTTTGAAGATAGATACTTTATTGATCCCCTGTAGGAGAAATTCAGGTGTCCAGCAGCAGCAGAGTCCAGCAGCAGCAGAGTCCAGTAGCAGCAGAGTCCAGTAGCAGCAGAGTACAGCAGCAGCAGAGTCCAGCAGCAGCAGAGTCCAGTAGAAGCAGAGTCCAGTAGCAGCAGAGTACAGCAGCAGCAGAGTCCAGCAGCAGCAGAGTCCAGCAGCAGCAGAGTCCAGCAGCAGCAGAGTCCAGCAGCAGCAGAGTCCAGTAGCAGCAGAGTCCAGCAGCAGCAGAGTCCAGCAGCAGCAGAGTCCAGTAGCAGCAGAGTCCAGCAGCAGCAGAGTCCAGCAGCAGCAGAGTCCAGCAGCAGCAGAGTCCAGCAGCAGCAGAGTCCAGTAGCAGCAGAGTCCAGCAGCAGCAGAGTCCAGCAGCAGCAGAGTCCAGTAGCAGCAGAGTCCAGCAGCAGCAGAGTCCAGTAGCAGCAGAGTCCAGTAGCAGCAGAGTCCAGTAGCAGCAGAGTCCAGTAGCAGCAGAGTCCAGCAGCAGCAGAGTCCAGCAGCAGCAGAGTCCAGCAGCAGCAGAGTCCAGTAGCAGCAGAGTCCAGCAGCAGCAGAGTCCAGCAGCAGCAGAGTCCAGTAGCAGCAGAGTCCAGCAGCAGCAGAGTCCAGTAGCAGCAGAGTCCAGTAGCAGCAGAGTCCAGTAGCAGCAGAGTCCAGTAGCAGCAGAGTCCAGTAGCAGCAGAGTCCAGCAGCAGCAGAGTCCAGTAGCAGCAGAGTACAGCAGCAGCAGAGTCCAGTAGCAGCAGAGTCCAGTAGCAGCAGAGTGCAGCAGCAGAGTCCAGCAGCAACAGAGTCCAGTAGCTGACCAGGAGGATTACTTTAATAGTTTCGGAGGATTACTTTTTGAGTCACTGTACCTACTTCAAGTAGGTACAGTGACTCAAAAAGTACTGTGCTTGGAACTGAAATCGACCTCACTGTGGCATCTCTATCACTTGGTTTAAGGAACTTTTACCATCAAGCTGCATCTCAAGACAAAAAATATTTGTGGTCCTACATCTTAGATATTGAAAAAAAAAATGACATTGCTTTCCTCAAGGAATGAACAGTCATACCAGTACTGTAATGAAATTATTGTCACTGGTTCCTGCCTCTAAAGCAGTTTGTCTTCTCTCATGGTTTTTCACATGTATGTGTTCTTGCCCTCTGTCGCTTCATCTTCAAACTATGTCGTGCACTGTACATGATTAGATTTCCGTCTCTTCCTCTGATTCTTCTGCAGACTCTTCCCACAGCTGGCTCCTTACCGCTGTTAATTAGCCATGATGGTGTTTCTTATACTTCCACATTGTCTGGTTCATCTGCAATCTGGATTTGTGCTAAAATAAGCTTTTAATCATCATCAGCACAAATGGGGCTGTACAGAGGCTGATTAAACACAGCAGGGGATTAAAGGTAAACAGAGAATCAGAGACTGGGGTTTGGTCAAATATCTACTTTTCCAACCCTCCAGGTAGAAATGAGGTCTGGTACATCCCTCTGCATTGTTATGTTTATGAATTATCTTGAGGAATGATTGATTTGATTTGAAACTACTTCAACAACAACAACTTATGCATCACTTAATTTTTTATACTATTTTGTTCTGTTTACATTCTTGTAATTTCTCTAATAATCAAAAATATTGATGAATGAATTGAAGACTTTTGAGCTCGGGTACCTAACTATATTTTTCCTATAGTACACATATTGTAGAATACATTGTTTTATATATGTATGACACATAATGCATACTCTATATGTTGTGATTAGAAAAAAGTAAATAGCCTCAAGTGATTTCTTAAGGAAATTATCTAATGTACTGTATATAAAAGCTTAGTTTTTATTGATGACAAATAAAACACATTTTTAGCATGCTAGTAAATAAGTGCTCTGTGAGTCACTATTTGACGCTTTGGGCTGAGAGAGGGAGATTCTCTGTGATTCACTTCACAATCTGAAGAAACATAATATAAACATTTAACAGAGGCCAAAAACACGCAAGTGAAATCTAGTGATGGGCGAGTAGATGTTTCATTAGGTCGGATCAGTGTTCTCCAACCTCTGACACATTTTGGCACAGATTTTTAAAGGAAAACATTCACATGGCACTCCGCCAGCTGACACTGATACGAACAGGAAACTCACAGCCTTTATTTACAAAGCAAATGTGTATGTGTTGTTTACATCCACTTTGATTTCTGGTCCACAAAGCACCAGCCCCTCACTGATCCTCCTGCAGGTGGTGGGTCCACGGGAAAATGGTTTCTCCGTCAGCAACGACACCACCTTGGTCTTTCAACGGAGGCTTCAGACAAAGTGGGCCTAAGTGTCTTGCCCAGGGACACAACGACCACAGACATCAGTCGAAGCAGGTGACATGAGTCGTGGGGGGATCGAACCCACGACCATCAGATCCAAAGACTGAACATTGGTCTTTGGATCTAATGGCCGTGGGTTCGATCCCCCCAACTGAGCCACTGTTGTATGTATTATATAGAAAATTAAACAAGTGAAAAAAGTCTTCACAAATTAATTCTCATTCCACATTATTTTGACCAATACAGATTTATTTCTGGGTTGTAAATATTATCCTATACTTGCACTATTGCACTACTGGTTAGATGCTGAACTACATTTCGTTGCATTCTTATGACTTTGCAATGACAATAAAGTTGAATCTAATCCAATCTAATCTAATTGGATCATTTCCGTAGGCACACCCATTGATCCATTATTGGGGCGCACCAAACACAATCTCAAGGCAACACTGGGTTGGATTGTGTCATCGAGATTTTAAGTCCCACACCCCACCTTATAGTCCATTTCCAGTTTGACAAAACTTCCAGCTGCAATCCCACATTTGGCCTCTAGATGGAGACGATGCACAAGCAGAGACAGTGATTGAAGCCTCCAGATAAGGTGAATGAATGACAGTGTGGACACAAAGCCACAAAGCTACATTCTTTACAAGTCTGAACACAAGCTCGATCTTTGGCCTCCGAAATGCACCGCTTAAGCCTCAAGAATGTGTGCCTGTAAACACTTCGATGCAGTATCAGCGAGAACAAAAATGCGGTGGAATCAAAAGCCACGCCACACATAGTCCATGCACACTCTGAAGTATAGGAGTGCTTGAGTGACAGCTGTGTCCATAATTTTAGAGCCATAGGGACGTTCAGACCACTCTGCACCATCTGCTGTGGCACATTCCTGCTCCACGTCCCCAAAGGAAACTCACTGGTGATTATTGTGAGTTAAGGAACTGGTATCTTCAAGCTGTTGCATTCAGTGGAAAGAATATACTCTGAATATATACTGTAGTCATTTCAGATTCAGATTCAGATTCAGTTTATTTGCTATTTGCAGTAAAAAAAAAACCACATTGGAATACATTAGCAAAAAGTCACCAGTGTGCACAGACAAATACAGACATAAAACAACATTAAAAGTACGGAAATAAAACAAATAAAACAGTAAACAAATGTCACTGTGAAATCGATCGACTAAAACAGTTTCAAAACAAGTGCAAATCATTAAAGTGCTCTGTTCAAACTGATAACAGCTTGTGGATAAAAACTGTTAGCATAACGAGATGTCCTGCATCTCAGAGAACGATATCATATATATATTCAGAAACATATCTATCATCATGTGTGCAGGTATATAAAGCTGGAGTAGCTAACCTTTTTTGAAGAAAGAGTCTTGTTTAAGGGACATTATATGAACAAATCAGACAATCACATGACGTCTTTATCTCGAAACAAGGCCTAGTTTGCACACTGAGAGC